ATGACTTTGCTGGCCAAATAGCTGAAGCTGCAGTCACCTCACCAATCATCTCATATTTTCAATGTTCCTTTTATTTTACTTTAATAATTTCTAGGGCTGAAACGATTATACCGAATAATCGAGTACTCGTTTGATAACTCTAACGATCGAGCAATCGTTTAGATTACCGATTACGATTATTTTGCGTTTTTTTATTTGTGTCCAGAAAGTACTGTAAACCCTCGTTTTATGAAGTTTGAATCAGTTTCCGCTGGGAGTATGCAGTTGCCAAGGGTATGGTTCATGTTCTGAGGTAAAATTGACTTCAAAACTGCCATGTTTTGGACCTACCCTATCTCTAATGCAGATTTGTTGGTATTATGAAGGCATAGTTTGTGGAAACAGAGTAATGTTTGCACAGAATTATGACACTATTTGCTAATAATTATAATCGATTACTCGATCGTTAAAGGGGAAGTATACCCTAAAATCAAATTTTCACCAGTTGTAGTCTTCGGGGTGCTGAGTCGAATGGTCTTGGTCCGAGGAAGCTGAGACGCTCCCTTCCTACTTGAATCCCAATCGAACTCGCGCACTTCCACCGAAACTGGGTGACTGCGCCCTACTAGATGGGGATTTGTATGCAAAATGTCACTAAAAGCGCCATTTCGTTCTTATAAAAGCACGGATGACCGCGATTGGCCCATATGTTGTAGTCTTTTGGACGCTGAGTCGACTGGTTTTGGTCCGAAATGGCTGCGATGCAGCGTTCCTCCTTTATTCCCAATCGAACATGGTTGAACAAGCGGTCACGTGCTCCTGCGTACACCAGTCACCTGGTCACCGTGCCTGCAGGGTACAACTTACTAGCCTGTTTGACCTTTTTTGGGTGCAGTCCTGTCACTCGAGTTGAACCTTGGTGTGAAAGTTGTCGCCTGCTGGCGCGGTGACCAGGTGATTTGGGCAACCAGGACCACGTGACCGCTTCTTCAACCATGTTCGATTGGGAATAAAGGAGGAAAGCTGCATCGCAGCCTTTTCGGACCAAAACCAGTCGACTCAGCGTCCAAAAGACTACAACATATGGGCCAATCGCGGTCATCCGTGCTTTTATAAGAACGAAATGGCGCTTTTAGTGACATTTTGCATACAAATCCCCATCTAGTAGGGCGCAGTCACCCAGTTTCGGTGGAAGTGCGCGAGTTCGATTGGGATTCAAGTAGGAAGGGAGCGTCGCAGCTTCCTCGGACCAAGACCATTCGACTCAGCACCCCGAAGACTACAACTGGTGAAAATTTGATTTTAGGGTATACTTCCCCTTTAAGCTAAAGAGTAATCGATACGTGAAAATCCACGATCGTTTCAGCCCTTAGGGCCGTTTCACACGAGGTACAAAATCGCGTACATGTCACGTTTCCGGTTATGTTCCCTAGGAGATGGAGCACTTTTGGCGCGAAATGTGAAACGCATCGTGTACGTTTTCAGCAAGACCAGGAGGGGTGTAGAAAGCAGGATATACCCAGCGTTCTACTGACAAACTTCGTTTTCCTTGCATTGTGATCTGTCGTCGTGTTTGCTTTTTTTGCTTCTGTTTGCTTTCATTGCTGGTTGCTGGTTGTGCCTTCCGTTTCGGACAATGCCTCGCCAAATATTCTCTGATGACCTGGAGGCTAGACTTATTGAGTTGTGGGCCGACTATCAAAAGTCAAAAAGTGGCCAGATGGTGAAGCGTATTGTGAGGGAAAGGGAGATCGCCGAGAAACTCAATGCTGCGTTCCGCTCAGGATGGTTGAATCCAGAGAAAAACTTGAAATTACACTTTGAACAAGCGAGGGCAATGCAGTCCTTCTACGCCTCGCCATCCTTTGCAACCTCTCTCGTCCGTTCATCTTTCTCTCCTTGTGGCGATCAAAGAAAACGAGAATCAGGGAGAGAACATCTCCTTGCCAAACTAATAATAATTATTATTATTTTGTGTTCAAAACTCCCGCGTTCGCGTGCGGATTCCGTATTTTACGACTTCTGTGCGAGGCAGGTCAAAGCTGCCATGGCAACTGCTGCTTGAATAGCATGTTGCGACACTTGTGTGAAATCACGCGCGCTGTGTACTGTGCCTAGAACGCCCATTCGTGAAAAGCCATGTATACCTCGTGTGAAACGGCCCTTAAAGGGGAAGTTAAGGCAAAAATTAAAATTTCACGAGTTGTAGTCTTCGGGGTGCTGAGTCGAATGGTCTTGGTCCGAGGAAGCTGAGACGCTCCCTTCCTACTTGAATCCCAATCGAACTCGCGCACTTCCACCGAAACTGGGTGACTGCGCCCTACTAGATGGGGATTTGTATGCAAAATGTCACTAAAAGCGCCATTTCGTTCTTATAAAAGCACGGATGACCGCGATTGGTCCATATGTTGTAGTCTTTTCGACGCTGAGTCGACTGGTTTTGGTCCGAGAAGGCTGCGATGCAGCGTTCCTCCTTTATTCCCAATCGAACATGGTTGAAGAAGCGGTCACGTGGTCCTGGGTGCCCAAATCACCTGGTCACCACGCCAGCAGGTGACAACTTTCACACCAAGGTTCAACTCGAGTTCACCTCGAGTGACAGGACTGCACCCAAAAAAGGTCAAACAGGCTAGTAAGTTGTACCCTGCAGGCACGCCGCTGGCACGGTGACCAGGTGACTGGTGTACGCAGGAGCACGTGACCGCTTCTTCAACCATGTTCGATTGGGAATAAAGGAGGAACGCCGCATCGCAGCCTTTTCGGACCAAAACCAGTCGACTCAGCGTCCAAAAGACTACAACATATGGGCCAATCGCGGTCATCCGTGCTTTTATAAGAACGAAATGGCGCTTTTAGTGACATTTTGCATACAAATCCCCATCTAGTAGGGCGCAGTCACCCAGTTTCGGTGGAAGTGCGCGAGTTCGATTGGGATTCAAGTAAGAAGGGAGCGTCTCAGCTTCCTCGGACCACGACCATTCGACTCAGCACCCCGAAGACTACAACTGGTGAAATTTTAATTTTTGCCTTAACTTCCCCTTTAAGAATAGTAAGAAAAATTGCACTGGCAATAAAAACTATACAGGTGAGAAATGATAGGAAATTCAGCAAGTGCAGTGTGACACATGTACATGCATGTGCAAGTGTGTGAGAGTGCGAATTAATTTACTGGAAGAGTCTGCATGATGTACATGAAAGTGCGGCGACATTTTCTTTTTGTTTACAAAGATTTGGATCGCGAATGTAGACTGCTTCTAGAACTTTCAATTGCTTGAAACTATTTTTCCGAAGTTTGTGCTATTTTTCTTACTATACTTGTATCAAAGTAGTGGTTGCGACTTCGGCGATGATTTGTAAGAAAGGGTTTGCTCCCCACACCCGAGCTCGTGCTATTCCGCCGACTTTACTTGACACTTGACTGACTCACGACTGCCATCCAGAGCACACGAGAAGTCCATCGAACCTTCGACTCGGCAAACCTGCAAGAAGGCACCACTCCCTGCTCAATACACAGTGTTTCGGGGAATTCACCCCTGATCAGTTGAGCTTGAGTAGGCTGAGGAAGATTGTGCCTGAAGAGCACCACTTATAATAGTGCTCTCCAGGCACAAACATCACCAGGGATACAAACTTACAGAGACGCTCCGTTTCCAGCGCGACAAACACCTCGTGAACACCAGATAGCAGCGTGAGTCAGTGTCGCTCCTGGACGGTGAGACAGACGTCGAGGACCCTCGGTCATTCGCAACGCTGTCACCTCCAAACCAACTAGTCGCAAGCCCGCGCTGGGCACAACAGTACGAAGTAGTGGTTGCGACTTCGGCGATGATTTGTAAGAAAGGGTTTGCTCCCCACACCGGAGCTCGCGCTATTCCGCCGACTTTACTGGACACTTGACTGTCAAGTAAAGTCGGCGGAATAGCGCGAGCTCCGGTGTGGGGAGCAAACCCTTTCTTATACTTGTATCCTCGTGTTTTTCACTCCAAGTGTATAAATCCTATTGATAGTATTGTAGTTTCATCATTCTCTATCATTTTACTTCAAGTTTTTCAGTGGAGTTCAATGTCACGGCGACATCCGATCAGATCGACCATCTCGAGGTACATGTAGCTCCAAACTCTTCGGAACTAGTCCACCTCTCCCATCGGATGAGGTTGTGGCGTTTCGAGGAGTTTCGTTTTCTGAAGAGGGAAATAAGCAACCTCTTCAGAAAAACGAAACTCCTCGAAAAGTCAAAGTGTGACAATTCGAACGCGCCCTTAGTTAGTGTCAGTGCTGCTTCTACCAAGCAGTGTGCTTTCTATGGGTTACCCCAGCAAGACTTTAGTGTAGGGTGTGCATAGATAGATAAATATCTTGGCCGCCCTGTTCCATTCCAATGCTCCGTTCGGTGTAGACCAGTTGTGCATTGGGGTCGATTCACATGGCTTCGCCAGTTGTGCGGGTTGCGCAGTTATCTGTCTGGATCTGTTTCACTCGGATCGGATTCAGACAGTCATGTACGTCGTCAACATGCCATGCATGGTCGCGTGCCGTCTTCGTTCTTCGCTAGCACTGCGAGTGCGAGTACTCGAGTGCGAGCTGAGTTAGAGCGTCACACGTGCATATCCCATGATACCCGGCAGCGGAACAGGCCGGACTACGGAGCTGGAGGGAGAACGTCGGCGGAAAAAGAAGTAAGTTAGTTGCCTGTTGGCATCCACCAGCCGTTCCGGTAACTGGACACGTTTCTCAACGCACACATCACGAAAGGGCGTCCCACAGCGAAGGCAACAAAGTTCTCCGAGTCAGCTTTGTCACTTGATAAGTAAGGTTTCTGCTCCAGATGTGACAATCCCTTTAACTCCAGACAGTATCCAACCCTGGTGCATGGTACTATTATATTCGGAGTTACACGTCGTAGACCGAGACAACGGCCGGGTGGCGGGCTTAGCGCTAAGTTAGGTATCTGTCAGCAGGGGCAACATCGACTCTCGTAAAGTTATCGCAGCTAGCGCCAGTTTGCGCCAATACAACGGCCCTTCGTCCAGGCCACGACCAGTTGACTTCTGGTCAGTTTGAGTCGAAATATCTACAGCTGACACTAGTATGGTAACAGTTAGTGAGTTAGTAGCAGTAGACCCACTACTACACTCTACAGTACAAGAGCCGAGTTTTACATCTCATTTTGTCAGAAGCAGGTGAAGTAGGCACGTCACTTAGTCTTTGCAGCTACATGTAGCTGCATGCACACAGCATTTCGAAATATTTGAAATAGAGACGGAAGCTGTTGTGTGTGTAAGCGAATCAAGGCTACTAAGTACTAGTAGTAGCGCAAGGACATGGATGTTGTAGTGGAGTACTCCGAGTAACAGTGGTTGGTAGAGCACCGCAGAGTGGGATACTGAATACCGCACGCTGTCAGCCAGCACGGCGCACAGCAGGCGTAGGAAGTAGAAACGGAGGCACTTAGCATCAGGTCGGGGGACACACAAAGATAATAATTTTTGGTCACTCCTGCACCAGAACTTCTTGCTACCCTGGTGACGTGTCGTTCCTGAGCAGTACTCTGTCTCTGCGTGTCGTCTCCTTCCCCAAGAAAGATGTTGATTCTACAGCATATGTACCTGCTTGCGGCGCTGTTGGCGGGGTCGTCGACACTCACACCAGGCCTGGCATCTGTTGATGATGGTGAGTGGCCTTCTGTCTGACTGCGTTTGTGGTACTCATTGTTCCGGTCCGGTGTGTGCCTGTGTGTGTGTGCGCGCGCGCGTGTGCGCGTGTGTGTGTGTGTGCGTGTGTTAGAAGTTAGTTAGTTGTGCCTTGGACTTTGAGTACAAACATTGCACCGGGATGGTTAATGTGTAGGAACGGCATTGTTTCAGCATTTGCGTTCCCTGCCACTGGCATACTAGTACACAGTAGAGTGTGGTTGGCCAATCCCAAGGCTGGCTGACATACCGTGTAGGGTGTACATGAACAATGCGTGGTTGGCCAATGTCCGTACTCTACACATCCATGCATGCATTTAGTATTAGTTTTGTCACAAGTCCCACCAGTGGTGGTCTACAGCTCAGCAAGGGAGTCCACAGTATTTTGTGGAGTGGTCCTCTTCGTGTAACACAGGAGGTTGCTAACACCTACCTCCTAACGTTAGGGTCACTCTGGGACAGTATTTGTGCAATGTGGGGAGTCGCAGTAAGTTCAATCTCTCTCTGTGTCTTGGTGACTTTGTTTGTAGCAGCATAGGGAAGCCAGTCAGTAGAGCACACATGCTGTCTATTTTGTGTGCATACCGCTAGTACTAGTAGTAGCTAGTACCTTGTAACTGTTAGTACTAGTAGCATCACGTACACTGTATGCATGTCTCTCATGTATACTAGTAGTACATATGTACTACATACAGTATGTACATGTACATGTACCGGTATGCAGCAGATTTACACCGACTGGATTTAGGCATCATTGTGAATCAAGGATAAAGTCATGCTGTGTATGGAGTGCCAGACCAGGGCTTGTGATGCCACTCCATGCAGGCGCCTCAAACGCAGACACGGCTGCATAACCTCTATCATACAATGTATTGTAGTCCATCTCCTGGGCTATCCGACGCTAGTGTTCATTCCGGTATACTAGTACCCCGTTACTAGTATATCTTGAGTTTTAACTGCATGGCAGCAACAGTCCAGGGTCTACAAATCATTACAGTACAGTGTCCGGTACCGAAATCTATATACATCACATTGACAATGTACACAAGGGCTGGTAGATCTACAATATGCACCCTGGGTCTTGTTGCAAACCAGGTGCTCTAGCAGTACCATGCGGTGTTTCCAAAGCTGGCCTTTCATTAAGTTTTGCCATCAACTTTTAAGTGCTAGTGGTCCGCACAGCCAGAGGAACTGGTAGTGAAGAGTGGATACTAAGGCCAGTAGCACTCCAATGTCGAATCATTGAAGTGACAGGAATTGGCTCTGGACTAGGCAAGATCCTGAACAAATGCCAGCTTACAGCTGTACTGTAGTACGTGAGACCAGGTCTCCTCCATTGAAAGCTTTGTTTTTATGTTTACAAAAAGTAGCCGTGGATGAAAAAATCGTTGTAATTCGGAGTTTCACGCACGAGGCGATCATCAGACAGCAGTTTACGTGCAACTGCAACTTCACTTTTTAAAAGAAAACATAGGTTCAAGTCCATCCAAGCTGCATACAGACCACGTGGTTGGCTTGAGTGGCCTGATTTGTCGCCAACATACATGCAAGTACATGTACATGTACGTGTGTAAATAACCCCTGATTCGTCCATAGTAACTGTTAGCTTGATTTAGCCTGGAGATGGACCTGGTCCAAACATTTTTAAGAGAAGAGCAAGCAAAGCGAAGAGAACAGCAAACCTGGGCAAAACATTGACCAGAACGAGTGCTCAAGACGAGTCACCAGCAGCCATGGGTGTACGCCAGCCTTCAGCATTCACCATACATGTAGGTGCACCCTGCACCAATGACTATGTGCACGCAACCAGGGTGCATGCCAGGGAGCCAAACGACCCAAAGCACATGCCAAGGAATAGCTTGTCTAACCACTTGCCCAGGCTGCATCACTACGTAGTGCACTGTGAATGCGACATTATAATTATTATTGATAAGTTATGATAACATGACCTCCGTAGGTACAATCACGGACTCAGCACGTTTACCTAGTAGATGGGTTATTGGCGGTGGTCCCCCACCCCCCCCCCCCCCCCCCCACCTACTGCAGCACTTAAAAATGGTGTATAATTACACTCCTGTAAAACCGGAAAGTCTAACGAGTCGCAAAGTCTTTAACGATCAATTTTTTCCGTTATTTGAAGAAACGTTGTGGGGAGATGTCTGTGCATACAGATGGGTACGGGGTGGCCGGCCAGGTAGCCATCGTTAAACTTTCTGCACGTTATCATGCCGAAATTACAAAAACATTAAATTTCAACTGTTTGGTTTTACAGTGCCTGGTATTTGCCATCACAGACAACGCATGACATCATCACAGACAACGCATGGCATCATCACAGACAACGCATGGCATCATCACAGACAACGCATGGCATCATCACAGACAACGCATGGCATCATCACAGACAACGCATGGCATCATCACAGACAACGCATGGCATCATCACAGACAACGCATGGCATCATCAGATTCATCACAGACAACGCATGGCATCATCACAGACAACGCAAGGCATCATCACAGACAACGCATGGCATAATAATAATAATGACAGCACCACTGAAGTACATGCACATACATGCACATGTACATGATTGTATGTAGTTACCGGGCATGTGTATTGTTGCTGTCTTTACTCGACTACATGACTGCTGCTAGTAGTAGTTGAATAAAAACCTCTCCCAACCCTGAATATTGGGTTCTCAATTCCCACAGTTCACAGTCTGCTCATTTGTCTATGACAATAATAAAATAGAGTTTGGTGGGCAATGCTCACCAAAATAATCATCTTAGCCTCTCCAAGTTAGCCATCGGGAATAGCCATCCGGAATAGCCATGAAATAACACCGGCTGGGAGATACAGTAACATGTGGCAGTAAGATACAGTAACATGTGGCAGTATGTGAATGTACAATGTAGGTGCTTCATGGCAACTCGTACTTCTCCCTTCCTGGATGATGTGCAATAATGCTTACGTTGCCTGCATGTGAGCCAAAAAAGAAAGAACTTGATGCAAAGCAAAAAAGCAATGACACATCCAAACTGAGCCGATGTTGCGACTTCAGAGGATATTAGAAGGTGACTGCTCAGTCCAAGCTTCCAACAGTGCAAACGTTGGAGATGGCGCTTCCTACCGTCTTACTCTTAGTAACTGAGTCAAGTGTCACTACTCTGGTGTCAGTTGGCGGGAAGCGCTAACACGCACATTTCGAGCAACCACCTTCTTCTACATGTACATTGTACAATTGTAACAAGCAGCACAGCCGTGTATGACATACAGTCATGTAAGTCATTGTTGTGGCGGTCTGGGGACTCTGGGGCTCCTGCACCACGTCAAGTGCGGGAACTAGCCGGGAAGACTCCGAAATTCGGGTGGATATGCCGACGTCACGCCGTACGGAACCTTTCAGCTGGCGCATGGCAGCGTCGCTTGCCCGATTTCTGAACCGTGCGCCCCTGCGGATAGGAGTACTGTCAGGGCGGCCCGGGGAAGCCATCCAGTCTCAGTCTGTTGCTTTCTGACGAGTCTGCCAATGAGTATTGTGGAGAATTGTTTTACTTTTAGGATTGTTGTTGCTTGAACTGTCTATCAACGCACTTTCGCTTCGATAAAATACTACTTGTACAGTCATGTTGTTAGTACTGTATTGGGTTCAAGTATTATTATTATACTAGTATAGTCATGTACAATACAGTGATTAGGTCGACCCTCCTATCGACCGACACGCAACACTAACAGAGCTTTTCGCGACACTAGTAATACTAGACTGCATGTCAATTGTCATGTTCTGACATGTAAATGCTCTAAATAGGCGGTCAGCCTTTGGGTCATCCTAATAAAGTTGAATTGTTTGCAGGCAACCTGCCTACACTCAAGAGAGCACTGCATTTCACACAAATCCATTGGTATCGTTACAACGTTTCGGTCTTTATGACCATCATCAGGAATGAAGTGGACATGGAAAGAACAGCAGTATAAAAGAAGGAGGCAAGCAAGCAAAGCGCGGTACATAGTGACAGCGCGCGTAGAGAAGTGCAAAGCGCGTCATGGCGGGTGTGCATTACTACATATACATGACAACACAAGCACAAACGGTGAGGAAAGTAGATACTGCGCTACAGCAGTGATAACAGCCCAGTTCCAGTCTCACACCACCAGTGAGGTGTCTAGAGCCCCGCGCCACTCGCAGTAAGGTGGTGTTAAAGTTATTATTATTAAAACTACAGTACTGGGTTGTAAATGTAAGTGGTTGGACCCATGAGGTCTCCCCTGCTGCCAAACTAGCCAGCGTTAGCGGCAAGAGTCACAAGACCTCAATCATCGATGATCAACATCATGTACTACATACCTGTACGGGCCGTAGTCATTACAGTGTAGTATGACAGCAAGAACCTCCCCTGTGGCCAGCGGCATTGTGCACTTTGCGCAGATGGGGAATTACGACGCCAGTTTCTCCGGTGTCTAGTTTCCCAGCCAGCCACTTCATCTTCTACTCGTACATGTGCATACAAGAGTCCATGGACACTCTTGCTACGTGCACCGACCGTAGTTCTGAGACGGCTCGAACTCTGCAAACGATGGAAAGTAGCAGACCGTCACAGTAGCGGTCATTGTGTCAGATGCATGACGTGCTGATATTTCGAAGTAGTTCGAAGTACATGTATACAATAATGTACATGACTTGATTGTACATGTAAGCTGTTATTATGTAGATGTGTACTTCAGTGGTAATACGATAGTGGGATGTGCATAATTGGTACAATGTACAATGTTTACGCCATTGTGTGATAAGATACATGTACTGATACTTGGAAGCATGCATGTAAGCTGTTACAATGACTGTAAAATGTGTAATACATGTACCGGTAAATAAACGACAGTACCTCACCTTTTCGCCTAGTTCTTCTTTTTGGCTATTTCCTTGTCTCGAATGGTTCTTTACAATCTGTATCACAATAATACTATTATTTGTGGGTTCAGCAAAAAAGGATATACAGTACATGTACATGTACATAATCATTGGTTACATCCCCTACATTGTACATTGTAGTACAGTGTAGTTTCGATGCAACGATAACCACTGAGGTGACCCTGGCCTGGGAGATGACTGCGTTCAAATCACCAGCTGTAGTAATTACATGCACTGTCATGTACCTTGTCCTTGGTCTCATCCAAGCTACAGAATGATAAACATCATCCTGTATTGCTGTAGCTTGGATGAGACCAAGGTGAGATCCTTTCTCATTCGCTTCTATATAGAAATGGATTGTAGCCCCTGCGTACTTTCGAAAACAGGTGCAAGATCGATCCCCGTGTTACCAATTTTGTGTTACGACGACTTGAAACATGCGCGATGTTCTCGGAACGCTGATTGTGGCCGGTATGCTTGAGTGTGACAGATTCCGAGGATGTGTGAAGTGTCCAATGTAGACTGAAAAGCGGAGCTGAGTAGAGCTAGAGAGTGGAGTAGAAGACGAGTATTCCAACACTGTCAAGTGGCTCACTTAGCATAGCTCAGCTGCATGCTCACTCCTTAGTAGTCTACTTAGAGACTCGGAAATTCTCTCCCACACAGGTTGCATGCGGTGTCATGTATCTGCATTATTGTTGTGCCATTTTCATGGCACAAGTCGACACAAGCTCTTCATCCCAACCAATACGTAGTAATTATTATTGTCTTTGGCTAGTGGAAGGCAGGAAACCCCTGCTCTGGCCTGTCGTGCTCCTTCCAAACTACAGACGTACAGTGTAACTGAACACGCAGTGCACTAGTGTTGCTTGGCGTGGCGAACACGTGGCAGAAGTGTGTTCCCTGCGGCTGTGCCCTACCACGTACTTCATCACAATGAGGGAATTGAAAGGCTTTGAGGGTAGCGCAAGTGACATTAGGAACGTCCCCTGTAACCATTTTTCTTGATGGGACACGGGCTCTAGGGTTTGTGTTTTGACGGAAATAGGTCACGGGTTGGTAATCATGGTAATACAATCATGTGACTAACTGACTAGTACCAAGAGTATACATGTATACCCCCCCCCCCCCCCCGGTGGGGTTATATACCCTTGCAGATTGAGTACTCTTGCTATGTATCAGGAGTCTGGACCGCCGGAAGCAGTTTTCAATTGGTCTGGTCGTATGACAGTCTTTCATACTTTATCATGTATGCTATGGCGGGTACATACATGTATGCTATGGCGGGTACATATTATGCTCTCCTCAGCAGTAAACATGCGTTGGTAGCCACAAAGTTGACCAACCGGACCGGTTCCGGCTGGCATGGCCCGAGTACGTTACCACTTTACATGGTGTCTTGAGCATGCTTGGGGTAAGTATGTAGAGACATTTTTTTAGCTGCCATGGGTGCCGGGGATGGGCATGGTAGACAGAGACAAGATGCATTACTCCACCGTCAATCTATACAAAAATAGGAAGAGGGGGATGGGGAGAGGGAGACAGGATTGTGAAGATGGATTTACATGTATACAATTCGTTCAGATAGTTCAAGATAATTAATATTAATTATGATGTATGTTCTAAGTTGTTCGGAAGTGATTTTCAATTCAAACTAAGGGACGATATTATGTGTTGTGCTGCGATGCAAGCTTAGTGAGAAATGGAGATCAAACCTAAATTGAACGTATTCATCAGTAAATGTATCAATTAGTCTAAAATTACTACTTGAGAACAGGATTATTCACAAAGCCAATCGCGTGAAACTATAAAGTAAGAATCGAAGCAAAAAATACAACCCAAATTCGGCAATAAATGGAACACTCAATTGAAATCCGAGTGTATTCTAAATTGAAATGTTTTTAAAAGATTGAACACAAAAGCTTGAGAAGAAACAGATACCTACAGTCAACTTTGCGTATAACGACACTCGGCCGGGCATCAGAAAATTGTCCTTATTCGTGAAGTGTCGTTATACCCGAAGCCTCATTATTATATGCATACAGGTAGAATGGACTTTGCTCTGGGCATGGAAATTCTGTTGTTATTCGCGAATTGTCGTTATGTCCACAGTCGTTATTAGCGAAATTGACTGTACATATAAATAGCCTACCGCGATACCGGCATGCAAAGGTGAAGTCACGCCTCTGCACAGTCGGCGGCAATATGCTGAAAAGGGGAAGTCCCGGCCGTGCGGCGGATGTAAGAGGCTCTGCAACACCTAAAACATGTGACTGCGCATCACAGCAGGAAAAATCACACACGGGTGCATTGCTCACCCATCACGGCAGAATACATCAAGTCTATGTTTTCGTCCACAACCAAAGCAGCCGGTGACTTCAGAAATACGGTGGTTTCCTTGCCCGCCACACCTGAGGTAGAAAACAACAATGGGGTGAATGATGCTCTCTCCACCTGGTCAACTCCGGCACCATACGCCGCCTTCTTCATTCGCTCATGTGTTCTCTGGTGGCTAGGGGTTTCCGGACGAGACAGCAAGAACGACCCAAGGTCTGTGACCATTACCTAAAAAAGGCATGCTACTAAACCCCTAGCCCAGATGTCCAGATGTGCCTCTGGCTGACGATTAGCCGAGGCGGCAGAGATGTCCTCACCGTGTAGTGGGAGCAAACGTGGCTCCATCTCGACATCTGGCAGCACCTCCTGCAGTACGCCGGCCAGAAGGTCCCAAAGCTCGTTATGGCGAGACGGCGGATAACCGCCAGTCGTGCACGTGAGGGCGTGGTGGGTAGTCATGGACTTCTGACAGACACAATGATGACATACACTTTCAAATGTCAGACCATAGCTTACACATAACGTGTTTCTGAAGTCCGACTTCTTCAGCACGGTGCGGCTTTTTGAGGATGGGTATGCTGTCAAGCACATTGACGTACCCTTTTCGTATGCTACTGCGAGCAACTGCCACTGGACTGGTGAAAGCTCCGACGCAGCAAGCTCTGTCTGCTACCGTCAGTACCCACTGACTTTTCCCTGGCGCTTTTGTCGGGCGATGCCTCGTGCCTTGCCAACGGCTTCAAGAACAGGATTAGCCATGCCCTCCGCGATACTCGAGAAACTTTGCGAGTTTTGGTCCGGGCTGGTAGCTGGGCGGCGTCTTGGTCACTCTCGTTTGGGTGGGTACGGAGCATATTTTCACTATTGGCGCTGTGATAGCAAGTGATGCCTGATGCTCTGCCTCTGCAGACTTTGCCACCATGAGGATTGCAAAAGCCTCCGGAACGGATCGGGAGGGACAGAAGCCATCTCTATGAGCTGTAATTTGCCTTGGCCAGGGGATCGCCCTGACAGGTTCCTTCTCGGGAGAGAACCTCGCAGCCGCCAGTCACAAAAAGTCTGATCTTGTCTGGGTAGGTTTTCTGAAATATCCTTCCCAGAGCCGGACAGATCCTGGGGATGTTGTGACTGGGGAGCATTCTGCACCACGCATCTGCATCAACACCGGATGGGCCAGAAGAACCCTTCATTTCTTGGGACATCTTGCGAATCAGTTCGGGCGTTATTCTCTGGAATGAGATGGGATTGCTTGTTGCTGCATCGCCTTCTAGTAGGGTGGTTTCTTGTGGAGGGTCAACAGGTGTGGGGTGATTTGATTGCAACACATGTCTAACTGTTTTGTGGAAGATTCGTCCAGACGGTCATCTAGGTGCAAGACACCGGCATCGGCTGACTCTGGAGAGAGATACCGTCGGGTTGCTGAGTGGGATGTTACCGCCACACCTCTACTACCTATCCAGTGTGCGACTGTACTGGTGTTACACAGTTTTAAGTCCATACGTGCACGTGTATGTCTGCGGCTCTAGAAGCTGCGTCTGCTTTGGCCTTGCTTGCGAGTTGGTGTAGCTCTAGCCGATATGAAGATGTGGCTCAGTGGATCCCAAGCATATTCCAGTACCTGATAAGCGAGGACATTGGTTTGAGACATGGAGTTGCCATGGAAATGCCCGCAGGGTCCAGGAACAAGAAGATGACCACAGCCTCGGAACAAGGTGCTACGGTCAATATCATTTCCGATCACTAAAATACTTTATATTCCTAACACTGGCAGAAGTTGAGCTCGGAAGGTGAGCCAATGTAATCATGGATAAAAAGGAGAAGGACAAAATGGTATGAGTTATGACTCTCTGACTCGCCGACTGTATAGGATCTGGTTACGTTGGTCAGTGGACAGTCAGTCATAACTCGTACCACTTTGTCCTTTTCTTTTTACTTACTTGCGACTTCGGCGGTAATAGTCATGAAGTTGATTGTTCCAAAGTGTCAAGTTCGGCAAGAAGCGTGTGTTCCAAGTTGGAAGAATCAACTTCCTTTTTACTTGTAGAAGTAAAATGGCAATGAATAAAACAAATTTTGCAGTCATATTAAACAATGTCAAAGATGTCAAAGTACTAATTTCCAAAACGTGTTCGCATGATATTCATCAGTGGAAAGTCATCCCTCAATTAGGAATAACCAAAAACAACCAACATATAGAAGTAAACAGTTTTCGTGGAGACAGAAATGAAATCAACGTGTAGAAAGTTTTAACTTGTAGAAGTGCCGAGCCAAGTTCTCGCAGCTTTATAAGTCAAGAAAGGAGCAGTGTGTACACTGAGGAGTACTAATAAAACGGTTTTTTAGTACTCCTGGTGTCCACGCTAATTCCTTTCTTACATAATACGTCTCGTTCTGATTGCAGCTCTTCATATTATACTGTAGCTAGCTTGTGCGGTTGAGCCAAATCAGTCAGCACTGCAATACATTGTCACTGCTGATACCAAATATATTCATGGGTTATTATGTTCCACTATTTCAATGCAAAGCAAAGTCTGCATAATTATGTCTTCATCATCGTGTTATGCCAATATTGCGTGGTTTTCCCTCTGTCTCCAGAAACCTGCAGAGATCACCTGTCGTTCTTGTGCAGCGACGGCACTCAGTGCATACCACGGCAGTGGCATTGCGACGGTGCTGTGGATTGCAGAGATGGGTCTGATGAGGGAGTGGACCTTTGTGGAACTACCGTCCAACCAGCCCCAAGTAAGGCAAATATGCTCCGCTTGTAGACTAGCGATCATTGTACATATGTTGCATACTCACTTGCAATTGACATGGGGTGACCGCAATGAAATCAAGTCTACAGCAGCTCAACTTGAATGCGGTTACTCTGGCTGCTTTATTCAACAAGATGAAGAGCCGCTTTATTCTGTTGTGCAATAAACTTGTGGCCAATAACGGTAGTGTATCCATCAAAAAGGTTACAGAACAGAACAACAAGGGCAATCGAGGCTTGTTTGCTGCTACTTCAAGTTTCATGCTCTCGCAATCATCAGGCAACAAAAAGGTTACAATAGCCCCGTCACTAGAGCCATACTGCGCCTTTGATCCTAGAGGGTGGTGGCGTTCCCACGGCGGGTGCGGAAAACTCGGCTTCCAGCCGAGTCTCACGCGAACAGTGAAATTTATTTATTAGAGCCATAGTTTTGCCCTCCGTACACATTGCTGATGCCTTGCGCTCAGTTTCCTTCGTGGTGGCAGATCAGTGGATCACTCCTCCTTGGGACAGTTGCCAAGCATAATCTCCCGCTGTTTTTGTTCGTCAGACCAACCCCCATCTAGGGTTCCTTGCAATAAGGCATCGCCTGTCTGAACCCCCCAGGAAAATAATTCTACCACTGCTTCTAGTGCTTCCACATACATACTACAATGCTAGCGTGGTCCAGCACAATGACGGGCCGTGGAGTAGAAACCGGCTCTACGTGTACTAGAAAGTAGAAACGTGTTTGTATGACACAGCTCGCAATGGGAGAGTAGTAAAAGAGATTCTGAGTATCGGCGACGGGAGCTGTGAGTCCATCAACATTCAGTGTCGTGCCTTTCTATTTCTATTTGTGCAAGGCAATTCTGCCACGTGGCTAATATGCGGGATAGTTCTGCACGCATACCAGGGAGTCGTAAAATACCGGTATTTTACGACTCCCTGACGCATACAGGCCAGGGACTAGATGTTTTACTGCTCAATCATTGGGCCTTGGTTCATAGTTTAAAATTATGCATCACGCAGCAGATCGAGCTGTTTAAAGGGGAAGTTAAGGCAAAAATTAAAATTTCACCAGTTGTAGTCTTCGGGGTGCTGAGTCGAATGGTCTTGGTCCGAGAAAGCTGAGACGCTCTCTTCCTACTTGAATCCCAATCGAACTCGCGCACTTCCACCGAAACTGGGTGACTGCGCCCTACTAGATGGGGATTTGTACGCAAAATGTCACTAAAAGCGCCATTTCGTTCTTATAAAAGCACGGATGACCGCGATTGGCCCATATGTTGTAGTCTTTTGGACGTTGAGTCGACTGGTTTTGGTCCGAAAAGGCTGCGATGCAGCGTTCCTCCTTTATTCCCAATCGAACATGGTTGAGCAAGCGGTCACGTGCTCCTGCGTACACCAGTCACCTGGTCACCGTGCCTGCAGGGTACAACTTTCTAGCCTGTTTGACCTTTTTTGGGTGCACTCCTGTCACTCGAGTTGAACCTTGGTGTGAAAGTTGTCGCCTGCTGGCGTGGTGACCAGGTGATTTGGGCACCCAGGAGCACGTGACCACTTGTTCAACCATGTTCGATTGGGAATAAAGGAGGAACGCTGCATCGCAGCCTTTTCGGACCAAAACCAGTCGACTCAGCGTCCAAAAGACTACAACATATGGGCCAATCGCGGTCATCCGTGCTTTTATAAGAACGAAATGGCGCTTTTAGTGACATTTTGCATACAAATCCCCATCTAGTAGGGCGCAGTCACCCAGTTTCGGTGGAAATGCGCGAGTTCGATTGGGATTCAAGTAGGAAGGGAGCGTCTCAGCTTTCTCGGACCAAGACCATTCGACTCAGCACCCCGAAGACTACAACTGGTGACATTTTAATTTTTGCCTTAACTTCCCCTTTAAAAGGGTGCATACCGTAATGAGCCGTATAAAAGCATGAACCGTATAGAAGCACGAGTCGAATAGAAGCCGAATTCTCGCAGTGCACCGTGATACAGAAGCATGATTTGTAGAAGCAGGTCATTACATGCGTGACGGTACGCACTGTTGAGTGTGCAAGTAGACTACACTGTGCAGTTAACAGTGCAGGGAATGCATCACTGCATGCTAGATGCAATGGGCGCATACGTAGAAACATGTTTTGAATAGAAGCATAACTTGGACAGAAGCATGGTTCAAACCAGGGAGTCGTAAAAGCCCGGGAGAGGACACGGCACACATTCCCAGAAAACATCTTTGCCTCGCGCTGCCGGGGAACGCTGCCAGGGAACGGTGTTGCGAGGCAAGGAAATTATTATTTTCGAAAATTGTGATGTCTTCTTGAAATACTAATTGGGACATTCTCCGATTTCTCTTAGAGCACGGAGACGATTGCTCCGTCGAGTCTTCTGATCTCTATTTTCATCCTCAATTCTTCCAGCTGCCTCACTCATTCTCTCTCAGTTTATCGAAGTTAATTTATTCTGAGGCGATGGAAATGCAAGATAAATCCCTAATTGTACTTCAATTTTATTTGAGTTGGGGTGAACGAAATGAGATTTGTGGAAAATGACGCCACTTCCCGTGTTAGCCGCTGGTCGTATCATACAGCCCATATTCCATTGCAGGTGATGGGCGAACGTTCGTGTTGAGATCCGCTGAGTTTCCTCGTACTCGTGGAGTTGAATTTGTGGCAGAAATTGCACTGAATTGCAGTCAAATGGTTGTGAATGAAACGAGATTTGTGGAAAATGACGCCACTTCCCGTGTTAGCCGCTGGTCGTATCATACAGCCCATATTCCATTGCAGGTGATGGGCGAACGTTCGTGTTGAGATCCGCTGAGTTTCCTCGTACTCGTGGAGTTGAATTTGTGGCAGAAATTGCACTGAATTGCAGTCAAATGGTTGTGAATGAAACGAGATTTGTGGAAAATGACGCCACTTCCCGTGTTAGCCGCTGGTCGTATCATACAGCCCATATTCCATTGCAGGTGATGGGCGAACGTTCGTGTTGAGATCCGCTGAGCTTCCTCGTACTCGTGGATTTATGAATTTGTGTCAGAAATTGCACTGAAATTGCAGTCGAGTGGACTTCTGTGCGTGTGTTGTGAGTGAATCGCAAAGGCTCCCTTCCTTCAGCATCGTCAAAACGCAACATAGAGCATTATTACGCACTCGTTCCATGATTCATGATATTGCCTGGATTCTTTTAAAAACAATCAATGTGTGTTCCCTATCTATCTACATTGTACATGGTTGCAGGTCGTTATTTATTATGTAGATCTTGTTAAAATTTTCTACACTTTTCTACTCGTATACTGAGTACGCGGTGACTTTAGCCGTTTAGGAAACGGAAGGCTCAGCCTCCAGGTTGGCCAGAAAGGTTCTCAGTGAATCTAACCGAAGTCTTGGCGAGTGTACAAAAGGTAAACCTATCATTTGTACTTCATAACGGAATTGTGCACAAAAATGCACACGCACGCGTGCGCGCACACACACACACAAACACTGTACAAACACACAGAAAAGTACAAGCACATGTGCACATACACACGCCTCCCCCCACACACACACTCAACTCCCCACCCCCTGTACCATGTGTACTGAGTCTGACAGACAGACACACAATCATGTTTATGCTTCCTTCGCCACCAGTTTCGGATAATGGTGTCAACAACGAGTTGTAAAATATTGGTATTTTAGGACTCCCTGCCCCGAAGACGAGCACAGCGCCGTGGATCGTGCAGATCCGGCCGCGCCGGCCTACCGTGCTTCACTTTCTGGCCGAGGCAAACATCGTCCGCGTGCGCGCATCCCGTGTCCTCTCCCGGGCTTTTACGACTCCCTGGTTCAAACCCCGGCTTCGGCCGTAAGCACCTACTTTTATACCCGGCATTGCGGTATGTGTGACCATTGTGTGTGGTGTGTTCTTTGCACTGTGTCTAGATTGCCCCACAGACTTCCTGAAGTGTGGACAAAGCCAAACTCATCCCGGACAATGCGTTCACGAAAAGGACTGGTGTAATGATGTGCCAGATTGTGACAATGGCGTTGACGAGGACTTTTGTAGTAAGCTTGATCTATTGATGGGAGGGGGGGGGGGGTTATCCCTTACTCAAGCTGTGCAGGGGCGTCGCACACGGTACGGTCACTACGGTATTGACCGTACCACTATTTGCCCCAAGTACCCGGTGAATCAATAAAATGCACTGATTTGGGCTCTAAATTTCCTAAATTTTCGGCTCAGCCATCCCTCCCCCACGAGTAAATTCTACTTCAGATGGCTGACCGTACCACACTAAAATACCCTGCTGTGAAATGTTCGTTTTTATGCGGTAAGGGTCCGGTCACACTGAGGGAAAATTTGAAAAAAAATCCGTGGCTACCATGGATATTTGCCGCTGTGCGGGAGATTTGAGAGATTTAATCCACTCGATGAAAATCAGCTCGAGGCCTCGCTTTTCCGCCGAAGATTATAATCATCCGCGGCTTCCACTGGATTTCTTTGAGTTTCCTTGTTTTTTATTGCGTTATGAAGTGGAGCGATACTATAGAGGCTGTGCTGATGCAGCTCTGGCCCAGGACCGGGGTTGACAGACAGCCAGAAGCGAATGGTGACAAAAAAATTGCTCGCGTGAGTGAGATTATTTTCATTGTGCGTATGCAGTGTGGCCGTCATGAAAAGCAGAACAAATTATTCCCGGTTTATAATCTGAGGATTGTTCCCTCAATGTGACCGGCCCCTAAGCACCAAACGAAAATTAAAAATTTAGAATTGTTTCACACGACGATCAGAATTGTTGCTTGGAAAAAGAGGAAAAAAACGAATTCAACCGCAGTGAACAGGATTCGAACCTGTGCGGGCAGAGCCCAATTGATTTCTAGTCAATCGCCTTAACCACTCGGCCACCACTGCTTGCACACTTTGTGACCAAAAGTACCCCTTGACCAGCAGAGTGTCAGGTAGCCACACAACCACACAATGTGCGGCTACTCAAAATTAGTATGTCAGAACGACTAGCATGTAGAACATGTGCAGATAGTAAAGAACTTTCTTTATAGGGTGTACAAAGAAATCACTGGTTTTATCAATCAAGTGTGATTTCAGCATCCGTGGGACATTCATGATGCGCACTGTCCACATAATCATGCTTGAATTAAAACTGTAACTATACAGTAACAGTGTAAGAGCTGCCAGTACACACTGTTGGATAGCCGTCTTTCCGGATAACTAACTGTCGGAGAAGCGACATGTAATTGTACATTGATATGTGTAATACTAGCATAATGTTGGTCATGCTATACATGTATGTGACTAGGAATAAGAGTACATAACCCCTCAGAGTGTGCAACGCCTGGTCCAGCTCTGCATAGGGTCTTGGTCGAGCGTAATCGGATCTTTGCGTCATAATACCGTACACATCTGAGAGGAACCCGGGGAGTCGCTGGTACTCTCGGATCAAAAGCAACAGTGCCCTGCCTCGAGACCGGCCTTGCACTGGTGTGGAGTGTACGCTTGGCATAAGAAGATCTGATTACGCTCGACCAAGACCCTATGGAGAGCTGGATCAAGCGTTGTACACTCTGCGGGAGGGGGGGGGGGGGGTATAATATACTCTTGGTAAAATGTGTGAATGTGTGTGTGTGTATGTGTGTGTGTGTGTGTGTGTGTGTGTGTGTGTGTGTGTGTGTGTGTGTGTGTGTGTGTGTGTTTGTGTCTTGCAGTCCATGGCCCTGAGGGGAACACAGGGCACTTGTACTGCTACCTTCCGCGGAACTTCCGATGTGCAAAGCGCGATATCGGCCTATTCAATAACTGTGTCTTTCCCTCACAAGAATGTGATGGGGTGGTGGACTGCACTGATGGCACAGACGAGCTGCCAGGGCTGTGCAATAGTTCACGTAAGACATCCGTGATATTCTGTGAATGCACCGAGTCCTTCGTTTGCTCGTTGCTATTTAAAAAAAAAATTAATAGAATATGAATTAAGACCGTCACCACCAGGATTCGAACCAGGAACCTTTATTTGAGGCCAGCAATGCTCTAACCATCGAGCTATGGTGTAGCTGTCATCCCAGCAGCGTCTGTTCAATATTTTCTTCAGACTTTGTAACTCACGCTTCCTGTGAATCCACACAGGCGGGTTGGAATTAAATATAGCCAGTGCGTTTTGGTACCATGGTGATAGTAGTGGTAGAATCGAATCCGCGTGTTGCAGAGCAGTCTCTCTTGTACAGCCCTCAGTGTGCTGTGTCAAGTCTTGTCTATTCACATAAGATAGGTCCTTAGCCCATCTAGCTGGTCACGGTCTGAGCCCAACCTCATATCTTTATTAAAATTAGGCTAGGAAAGACCTTGTCCACATGCTACCCGACTTAGTCGTTCTCTCTCTCTCTCTCTCTCTCTCTCTCTCTCTCTCTCTCTCTCTCTTGTCCCTACTGTTGTAATGTTACAGTCCGGACCACGACACCACCAAGCACAACAGCTGTACCTATCTGCAACGGCTTCAGATGCCAGAATGGCCGATGTATTAGTGCAGCTAGTGAATGCAATGATGTAGACGACTGTGGAGACGGATCAGATGAACTGAACTCGCTGTGCAGTAAGCTATGCCTTGGAGAGTCTGTTGGTATAATCGTCTGCACTTTTGTTGTAACGCGCAATAGTATAAGAAGTGGACTCCGTCCCCTCCTGCAACGTTACAGCTCCTTGCACTCTTACATCATGCACAACAGGTCCATGAGCATGTACTCGGGGATCTTACTACTGTAAGTCAACAAATATTCAGCGCATGTTTATTTTTCGGCCTGGTCATGTTTGGCCGAAAATTTCTAGCACCCCAAATTTTGTTTTGCAAGGTTCAGTGTGACAGTGTATACAGGCGGCAGCAGTACAGGGCGAAAATTTGATGCGGCCAAAATGGGTTTTAGCCCCGGGAGCGGGCCGAAATTTGAATGGGCCAAAAATGTGTAGACTTACAGTATGGTGCGATGTGTGACCTACGCATCAGCTCCTACGCATCAGCTCCTACGCATCTTGGCAGCTCCTATGCAATCTCTTGGTCACGTGGTTCATACAAACATAGAAGGCTCACGCATACTTGTTAAAGGGGTACACACACATACAGTCAACTTCGCTTATAACGACACTCGGCGGGGCATCAAAAAGGTGTCCTTATTCGCGAAGTGTCGTTATACCCGAAGTCTCATTATATGTATTACAGTGGGATGGGACTTTGCTCTGGGCATGGAAATTCTGTCGTTATTCGCGAATTGTCGTTATATCCGCAGTCGTTATTAGCCAAGTTGACTGTACAAGATAACACTACATGCGCTAAGCTCTGGCCACACCGGACATATTACATTGTATGTGTGACATCACTTTGGCCTGTTACACGTCCGGCTCAAGTGGAGTTTCTCTGGACATGCAGGGGATGTCACCTCCAAGCCAATATGTGCTACAGCCACCAGGTGTTGCATGGGATGCATGTACTGCGTACTAATAGTATTTTATATGCGTGTGCGTTTGTGCATGTGTGTGCATTTGTGTATTATGTGTGTGTATGTGTGTTTTTCGTGTGTGTGTGGGCTTGCTTGTGTATGTATGTGCAATTGTGCATGTTCATTGGGCACGGGCAGCTGGTCATGACTGTGGAGATCCATCACGCATACCCTGCACTCTTGCCAGCACTGGTCAACTGGGCTGTGTCAATGCATCACTGGACTGTGATGGTCACAGTGACTGCGCCAATGGTGCTGATGAAGACCCCATACTTTGCTGTAAGCACTAAGCACTAGTACCTACCATGCACTGTTCCTTGTATTGCAGGTCTGTACATCAGTACAGTACTTCTAAGGTATTCTTTCCAATTTTTTCTTCTTCTTTTTTGGTACTTTTGCCATGGCTGGGTATCGCCCTCATATTTGGCTGGGTATCGCCCTCATATTTGGCTGGGTATCGCCCTCATTATTTGGCTGGGTATCGCCCTCATATCTGGGGTTGCTCCGCATATTAGCGTTGCTTGCATATGTTATGAGATTGGGTTGAATAAATAAATAATAAATAAATAAAATATGGGCAAGGACTTCTTGTGCACAGGAGTCCAAAGAAATACCATGCAAGATGATAGTGAAGGGTATTTCCAACACATTGTACGACTCGTAGAACATTATAAAATCAGTTCAAGGACTGCTTGATAACTAGTACCAATGCTTATGCATGACGCAGTAAGATCGTGCTTACGTTGTCAGCGTCGGGAACGTGCCTGTGCATTGTTATCTTTCTTTCCTCTTTCCTCTACCCCCCCCCCCCATTCTCTCTAATGTATTGATCTAGATGTGTAGATGCATCCGCTGTTGGCCCTCCCCCCCCCCCCCCCCTTCCCCGATCTCTTTCCGACCCATGCACACCAGACTTGTCTCCATGATGGACATTCTCTTTCTCCATGATGGACATTCTCTTTCTGTCCCACAGCATCACAAACATGCTCGTCGCCGATGGTCCGGTGCAATGACACCGGCAGTTACCGGTGTGTGGCCAGGTCGGCAATCTGCGATGGTGTGCAGGATTGCCGGTCTGGAGGAGATGAGAAGGCCTGCTCCAGCCCAGTCGCACCAACTGAACGCCAGAGTAAGTATCAACATGTAAAGTAGCCGAAATCAAGTTGCTGAGTACATGTACTAGTGAAGCAGTTGCTTATATCACCTACACAAACCATGGCATCATGTATGCGATAAGAGCTCCGTGACGGTGGACAACTCGGCGTGGTTAGTGACTTTCATCCGATGGCTCGTCCTTTCTCATATGGCAACTCAACACTACAGGCCAATGCTGTAATATAGCATAATTAAGTAGCTGTTGTCAGTGCCACCTTTCGTAAATATACATGTATCTCTCTTAGCTCGCATCACACTTCCATACCATACCACAGCATTGACGTCAGCTAGCTTCTAATTCCTGCAGTTTGATCATGTCATGCTTCATCACAATGTCGCGCCCGGTCAAGTAGTCGTGAAAGGAATGCAGTGCTTTGCCTCCGGTACTTATCATGCAGAAGTGTTTAATGGCTTAGCGTGTGAGCGTTCAATTGTCAAAGTTGAGGCTCGGGAGAGAGAACAATACAGTGTTGGCCGTCCTCTAACTTCTTAGAGAGAGTTCCAGTAATGCACATGTTGTTGTTGTTGTTGTTGTTGTTGTTGTTGTTGTTGTTGTTGCTGTTGCTGCTTTTGTTGTTGTTGTTGCTGCTGCTGCTGCTGTTGTTGTTGTTGTTGTTGTTGTTGTTGTTGTTGTTGTTGTTGTTGTTGTTGTTGTTGTTTTAAATCTTTATTCTCACGATGGCCTGTGACCAATAAGAAAGTTGTTGCTGCTGCTGTTGTAGTTGCTGTTGTAGTTGCTGTTGTAGTTGCTGTTTTTTGGCGGTGATGGTGGTGTTGTCTCCTTCGCCGTCGTCATTGTTGAAGCACATACTTCGAAGTAGTTCGAAGTAGTGTGCAAAAGTATCGCCTGGTGCTGTGTGTTGCTTGTCTATGGCTTAGATCCTACAGTCCATTTCAAAACTATAGACGCACACCTAGGCAAAAATCGTTATGCCAGCATTTATACCACATAAAATCTGTGATCACTTTGTGCATACATTTTTCCAAATTGGGCGTCTGTTATCCAATCGTTTAGAAACTATAATTATGAGAGTAATTGTGGAGCGGTCCTGAGCAATATTCCGAAAACTATTCTCAAAAAGTTCCAGCCAAATTTGAAATATTTCAAAAACCCTACGCGTCTATAGTTTTGAAATGGACTGTAATGCAGCTGCCGGTTCTGGCAACGAAAACGGTAAGCTGTGCCAGGTACATTGAATTCCAGCTCAGCATGAACTGGCTCGTGGGCTTCTACTAAGTTCTAGTTTAAAATAGAACACTGCACAGTCAACATCATCATCATCATCATCATCATCATCATCATCATCATCGATGAGAGCTTCCTAACGTACCAGTACTACAGTACTCTCTAGCACATGACTGTACTTCCTTCAAGATTGTCTTAATGCTGGTGTTCCTGCGGATGCGGAAAAATCTCGGTCTATAAACTGAGTCTCACGCGAACCGTGACTTTTTTTGTTTTGTTGTTGCTTGGTCGTCGTCTCTTAGATCCCAACCCAGTTCCTGTTACCGACAACACAAGTGGTAAGTGTTCCACACTACTACATGCAGTACTAGTGTAGTGTGGAAGTGCCGCCGCATGAAACTGCACTCACACACACACACACAAACACACACACACACACACACACACACACCTGTATCCCGCTGCACGTGCACAAGCGAATGCTGCAAGAAAACCCCTGGGCCAGTCACGGGGTCAGTGAATGGCTGTCTTCAAATAAGTAGAGATTTTATTCCCGTAGCTATGCAGAAGACGTTACTTCAGTAACGTCTGGCGCTAGCCAGGGTCCACACAGCTTTAATTTGGTATTTGTGTGTTTGTTTGTTTGTTTGTTTGTGTCACGCCTGGCGCTATCCGTATCTGACGCCAAAAAAGCATAGGATGTTATAAATTTTTCAATTTTTCCTAATTTTTTCAGGCAAATCCTGGGATCCGAACCCGCACTATCGCCCTACATGCATTCCCCCATACACTTCGCATTCATACCCATTCTTCCAAGTTGCTTCACGTTATTATCTTGCGTTTGAAAGCCCTATTTAAATATTGCGGGCAGCTGTATGTGGCCAGCTGTGTTTAATGGTACGGTACGGTATGGGAGACGGTGTCGTATTACCCTCGATCGTACCTATCCCCTACCGTACCGTGCCATCAAAGACGGCTGGCCACAATGCATATTAAAATAGGGCTTTCAAATGCAAGATCACAATGTGAAACAACTTGGAAGAATTAGTATGTATGCGAAGTGTATCGGGGGGATGCATGCAGGGCGCGCGATAGTGCGGGTTCGAATCCCAGGTTATGTCTTAAAAAAGGATTTTTTAAAGAATTTATAACATCCCTATGCTTTTTTTTGTCTAGGTCATCAAGGCAAAAAAGCATAGCGTAGGGCCCTGAGCTTCCAAGCTCTCTCGTTTCTCGTCCCCGTAGCTATGCAGAAGACGATACTTCAGTAACGTCTGTCGCTAGCCAGGGTCCACACAGCTTTAATTCCCGTAGCTATGCAGAAGACGTTACTTCAATAATGTCTGGCGCTAGCCAGGGTCCACACAGCTTTAATTCCCGTAGCTATGCAGAAGACGTTACTTCAGTAACGTCTGGCGCTAGCCAGGGTCCACACAGCTTTAATTTGGTGTTTGTTTGTTTGTTTGTTTGTGTCACGCCTGGCGCTATCCCGTATCTGTCCCGTACTGTACCGTACTAGCAAAGACAGCTGGCCCCAATATTTTTGTTTGTTTGTGCCATCGAAATGCCTGGCGCTATCCCGTACCCGTCCCGTACCATCAAGGGTACGGTACCAACAAGAGAATGAGTATATATGCGAAGTGTTTCGGGGGAATGCATTCAGTGCAGTAACATTTTGTGTGGATTTGTGTGCGAGGCCGAGATCCCACTAGCAGGCTGGCTGGGCCGCCTGTCGACCAGCCCGGGAATCGCATGTAGGCCGATAGCATAATAATTATAACGTATATACAGTCATGTAGATCTATAGCAGGGAGTCATATTATGCAAACGACTCCCTGCTGTATGGGGAGATTTTCTGAAGAAAAAAATACGAAGTAGGGAGACGAGTAAATGCAATCAGAATGGATGTTAGTTGCCGTCAGTATAATAATAATAAGAAGAAGAAGAACGCCCGTGATCGGCAGAGTCAGCGCCAGTCCCAGGAAACGTCAGGACAGACATCCCGTCGACTCCAGAACGCCCGTGATCGGCAGATTCAGCGCCGCTCCCATAGCTATGCAGAAGACGTTACTTCAGTATCTCATTGAAACGTTTTTGCAATACAATGATGTAGCTAATCAAAGGAAAAAGCATTTCCATCAGTTCTAACAACATGCACGATGAGCTAGGCAACAAAGCATAGCGCAGGGCCCTGAGCTTCCAAGCTCTCTCGTTTCAGGCCACACCGCCAACAAAATCCGTCCTCGCCGCTTGCCAGGACGCAGTCGGGAGGGCATACCCGTATTCACGCGCATAAAAAGGCATGCACTTATATTCGAATACAAGGGCGCCTTCACATAATTATAAAGGCATGAAACAAAACTCAAGACCCAAGAGTTTATTTTGAAAACTCAAGTACTCGCATTGAAAGAGGTGCCCTTGTATCCGGAACATTTATTTCCTGGCGAAATGAAAAAAAAACGCAGTTTTCGCATATAAGGGCATGCGGGCACAATGGATGCCTAGTTGCCCTGGCAACCAAGCCAGACTATGGCTCACTATTGCTAAGAGCATGTCTTTCAGCTTTTCACGTCTTGGGGTATGAGGCCACGGAGCACAACATGCTGGTAGAAGTGCAACTGTGCAACAACATGTTGGTTGGTGGGTGGGTGAGACTGTGTGTGCACGTGCATGTGTGTATGTGTACATGTGTGTTTTGTTTTCCTGCAGACAATCTAGTGGTGATTATTTCATGCACTGTTGGTGGAGTAGTATTGATTGCGCTATTCGTGGGAGCAATGGTCTATATGAGTCGGTTAGTATTCCATGTCCAGGAGTAGTATTATATGTATTTCTGTGTAAGAATGCACCTCTTGAATACCCCAACGCGGCTCAATTTGAGAATAGCAGTAAAGACAAGGGTGTTTTTTTCTGGATTGCATTGTACTACTCCTGGATATGGAGTACGAATATGGAGTGTGTGTGTGTGTGTGTGTGTGTGTGTGTGTGTGTGTGTGTGTGTGTGTGTGTGTGTGTGTGTGTGTGTGTGTGCGTGTGTGTGTGTGTATGCGTGTGTATGCGTGTGATGGGTGTGTGTGTGTGTGTGTGTGTGTGTGTGTGTGTGTGTGTGTGTGTGTGTGTGTGTGTGTGTGTGTGTGTGTGTGTGTGTGTGTGTGTGTGTGTGTGTGTGTGTGTGTGTATGCGTGCATATGTGATTGTGTTTGGCTGCTGTAGGCGCAAGACAAAGGCCAGCACACTGGCGGCAGTGTACAATGACAACAGAACGCTGGTAAGGATAATTCACTTGCACGAGCCGCAAGATCTTCCTCCTACATGTATTACTGTAAAAGCCATAATTATGTATAACGAAGTGCTAACTCTAACGAGTTAACGAGGAGAAATCTGTCGTTAAAATAGAAATCGTTATACAGAAATCAATACATATACTGTCCTATTGAGCGTTGAGAATGAGTGAGAATCGTTACCTTTGCTACACGTAAACTAGTCAATTTTGGGAAATCGTTATATTATATGCGCCTCGTTAGAATAATGGCTTTTACAGTATTATTGATTTTGATTTGCCAGTAAAACGTCTGATGAGATGGCCAGGGAAACATTCTAAGAACATCACTACATGACATGTAGTATCTACCTATGGTGTATTCATGGCGTTGATATCGTTCTGATCTCCACGGAAACTAAATATTTACCTGCACAGTACATGCACAATCTTTCAACATTAACTGTAATGATAGGAACGTTGGCTGTGGAGATGCTGGTAGTGCAGTTGTGATGTCACTGCATGCGATACGGCATGACTCATTAGACGCATTGCTGTTTAGTACAGCATACGAGCTGAAGAACCAGTGACATTGATAAGGTGGATTTAACTAAAAACTTAGTAAAAAGCAAACAAGTATTACAGTATGACTAGGTGTAATAAAGTGTCAGCAGAGGGCTAACCGTTCAGTGTACTAAAGTATGGAGCACATGCAAACCGGTATAAGATAGGGAGGGGGAAAGGGGTACAGCATGCGCCGAGCTTATCTCTCTTCCTAACACACGCTACAGCACGCCTGCCATCCATGTCGATCAGCTGCGCTTAATTCAACGATAATATGAGTATCGCAGCATGCAAGATGATCTTGGACGTGCTGTGTGTTGTTTGTGTCTTTGACTGTATGTTTGTAACTTTGACTGTATGTTTGTGTTCACCTTAGGTCCGTGACAACAGCATTGTCAGCGGCACCAGCGCCGTTAACAATACCAGTATGGCGGCCAAACCAGCTGAGGTACGGTGATTCTCACTGTGACAGTGCAATGTACTGACGAATTGGCGACTGTTCGAAAACCTAGGCCGACTTTCCTCTCGACCTGTGGCGTTTTCCCCAAAACACATATTTGGTTCTGAAATATAAACGAACCCTGAAACCTCTTGCAAGTAAAAATACTTGACATGCGATGTGCACAGTATACCAGTGAGTGGTATACTAGGAACCGACTTCCAGTGGTACGGTTTCGCGTGAAAGCACATGTTGTTTAAAATGACAGAACACCAAAAGGGAAAACACGCAGCGGACTTTGGCAGCTGGAAATTCACAGTAAATAGCAGCAGTGTGAAGAAGCGTGTGTACAGTACGTCGCAGAGCGCAGCAGTACTGTACTTGGAGAGCAGTCAAATTATATGGTTTAATATAATCACACCGACTCTCTACGAACACCGAGTAGACCCAGGCCACTGCCGGTATTAACTCCAAGTCGATTCTATGCTCTATTTTCTACCGTAGTGTCTCATATTAAAGCCGGCCTTATTCCTGTAGAAGCCGATGTCAGGGCTAGACTTCTATTCACACTCAGGCTTCAATTCAAGCCAGGTATTTCTATGTGTGTCAACACAAAAACCAGGCTTATGTGCCGACAGCGTATCTTGAAAATCAGGCTTGTATTCAAAACAGGCTTCTATAGTCCTTATGCACATTGTACAGATGTACGAAGTTCTGTACTATGGCCGTAGGTGTGTACATACCCGGTTGGGTGTTCATTGTGTGCTATACATGCGCGTTTGACCCATTTAGCCTCACAATTCATGGCAAACGATCACTTTTCAAGCCTTCTTCACTTTGGGATTGAACTAACGACTAGCTAGATCTCTGCCGGAAAAAGATTTCGTATGAAATGCCTTCATGGCCCATTTCATAGTGGAAATAGCAGTAAACACAATAGGGTCCTGCACATTCAACACCCAACCGGGTCTACGGGATTCTACAAGATTATACGGGATTTCGTGCATCTGTACAATGTGCAGGAGGCCTATACGAGATAGGCTTTAATACAAGACACTACGGTATGTTCTATGTCTTTACTCTGTGTCCTCTATGTCTTTACTCTGTGTGTGCAGACTGACCCTGGGACTGCAGTCTAGCAGCTTGTCTAGCAGTGTTGATCACGGTCAAAACACTATTCTAATTATTCGCTTGCTTTAATACATGTACATCATGCAAAAACACCATACTAATTATTCGCTTATTTACATCATGCATTGACTCATTCCTTTGCCTTATTTGTCGCTACTGATTGCAGAAATTCATAATAAATCCGCGTTCTTTTACATTCGCCACTACAATGCACTAAGAAGCATATCGGTGGTACCCACAATTCACGAACAGCTGATATTGTTGGCCTGCTCACGCATATACTGGTACTAGGATGATGTATTTATCCAAGCCAGTAAAGTCAGCAATATATTTGCCAGTGTGTTCTTTTTTTCATTCTTATCAGCTTTTCTGCATTCAAAACCATTATTGGAATGAAAAACATCATTCTGTGGGATGTACGCATGCAGTGTGTACAGCTTGTCTCAATTTTATCTACTCTGTACTACTGAGGAGGATTGTGCTGGTACGACAATTCTGAAACCCAGCTTACTCAGTGTTTGTTGTTGTATACTCTTTAAGGTGGTGATCAAAACAGGCACAAGCCTCGTTGCATTGAACGTCTGAACATTCGATTTCCCTGCGTATTAATACCAATGGGATGCGTACACCGGACAACAAGAACAGACTGAGCATGACAATGCAGCACTGTAGAGGATGCATGCAACAGGAAACCAACCAGCATAATGATAGGCCTGGTACGGTACACTCGATCTCTGGACAGCTACTTTAGCTGTTTCGACCTTCTTGGGTCTCATCAGCTGAGATCATAATGACTGGTTGAACTGATCACAATGAAAATGGCCCAACGCAGCAAAAATCAGAGTACATGACATACATAGTGTTAATTGTAGTGTAATGAGTAGCATCATGACAGAACTCTATCCCTAGGCATATCAATGTCTGTCTCCAGGTTTCTCCTGCCTACTCCCCACACTCACTCGCATTGATCTAACGTGTGTACTTGTATAAGAACCGCAGCCTGCCTGCTGTACCAATGACTCATGCATTCATGTACCGCTGCACTTGCTGGCTGCGCATCACTAACCCTTCCCCTTCCACAGTCCCCGCATGCACTGAACGCAGTACTCGGGTGCGCGTGCGTATTCATGTCTGAGTGCACTGCCCTCGGGCTCCATCTCTACATGGCATCTCGTACTGGGCACGCTGCTTCCGGTCGCTGCTGTGTGCACGCAGCACCGCCGTCCATTCCGCTCTCTGTCTTCTTTACTCAGTGATTCCCGATTGGAATCACTCTTCGTTTCTGCTCTCCTTACAGTTAGTTGTGCTTTTCCGTGTCCGATAATGTTCCCCCTTCTGCAATAAAGATTCAGGCGAAACTACTCTAAGTAGCTACTGCTACATGGCGCAGTGAACAGGATCAGTGATTAAAAAAAATAACATTGATCCGCAACGAACCTGGTCTGCAACTTCAGGATCTAGGATGGCTCGCGTTCGACAACGCCGGCGATCGCGATAAATCTCAGGAAGTGGAGACGAAACTCTCGGCGTACGTCACGCCCGTGGCCAACGTCGTCCACGGACGAACGATGTTCGAACGCGACACACAGTCGCCATCCGAGACCGTGGACGAGTCACTTCTGCGTCGTCTCTACGGCGGCGCGGACAACGGCGACTTCAAGGACGCTCGCGATGACCGCATCCGCGATCGCTTCACGATCACGACACACCACTGCAAGCCAACGACCCACTGCAACGGCTTACTGCAACAGCTTACTGCAACGGCTCACTGCAACGGCTCACTGCAACGGCTCACTGCAACGGCTCACTGCAACGGCCCACTGCAACGGCTTACTGCAACAGCTTACTGCAACCGCTTACTGCAACGGCTCACTGCAACGGCTCACTGCAACGGCTCACTGCAACAGCTCACTGCAACGGCTTACTGCAACGGCTTACTGCAACGGCTTACTGTAACGGCTTACTGTAACGGCTTACTGCAACGGCTTACTGCAACGGCTCACTGCAACGGCTCACTGCAACGGCCCACTGCAACGGCTCACTGCAATGGCTCACTGCAACAGCTCACTGCAACAGCTCACGGCTACCGCTACATTAATCACACACTTTTTTTCTTTTTCTTTTTGGGTTACATTTTTTCCTTTTCTGGTTTTCTGGGTTTGCATTAAATTTGTATTGCATTTTCATCCATTGTGTTTCTTTTGCTCGTAAAAGAGGCTTCGTGTATGCAAAATCAGAGTGCTGCAACCTGTAGTATTACCAGGACAACAACGACATTTCGGTCCATACCTTCGTGACAAGGTTTACTGCACCAGTGCATCGAACTACATACAGTGCACAGCCCCGTGTTTGCAGGATGCACAGCGTCCGATGCTTATTGACTCACAACATTGGATTTCATGGATACAGCCTCTTGTATGGGCAAGAACGAAGTAATACAGCTAGCGTGTGTTGAAGAAGAAAATGAGCGGAAACGTACTATGCTGTGAAACACGCATGAGGCATGATCAGGGCAAATGACAGCTGAAATGGTTGAAAAAGGAAATGGATTTCATTGAGCAGCAGTCATGTACACTGTTTCCTGAATATTCCCACTCCAGGTACACCATGGTATACGTGCTCTAGTGCTGAAGTAATTTTTCCCTCCCTCCTGATCCTCCTTGTCCTGGAGCCTATCCACAGGCCGCCAAGGCATCCATACAAGGCATCCATACAAGGCATCCATACAAGGCATCCATACAAGGCATCCATACAAGCTCCAAAATGAGTTAATGCTAGTACAGTAGTACTAGTAGTACGGAACTTTACCTGACTCTTACTAGTCTTAGTATAGCGTATATTTAGTGTATCCCCGTGCGTTAGCGTACGGGGTCTGTTGCATAAAAGCTGCTGCGCATTTCTGTTTTCATGAGAATTTACAACAACAACAACAAAGCCGAACAGAGGAGCTGTTCAACCTCCAGGTGTGTACCGGAGAAAGTTCTTTTTATTGCCGCTTCTCTTACTTATTAACTGGTTTGAGGGAAAGAGACAAACGGGAAAAGTCTGAAGAAAAAATTGACTGTCACCACCAGGACTCGAACCAGGGACCCTCGCTTGTAGCCAGCGATGCTCTAACCACTGAGCTATGGTGTAGTCGTCATCTCTTACTTATAATAGTTATATATATTCCAGATGTGTACCTGAGAGAAATTTGAGTTAAAACGGCTAACTCGTGTTGATTGCACCGTGCCTCCACTCGGCTACCCACTACACTTGTACTATTACTTTTATAGTTCACAGTTTATACCTTCTGGTTATTCTGCTCTTGCTGTACAAAGTCGTGTACAGTACCAGTACATGTATGTCACACGGCATACCTTGGAAGTGAAGAAATCAGCTTATTCCACAGGCAATCTGGAAGGGCCTCTTCAAAAAGATTCTTTCAGTCCTGCTTGCACTGCTGACTGTGCCCACAGCCAAACTCTTGAGGCATTCCTACAAGTTAATGAGTGCAGCTTGGCTACAGCAGCGCCCTGAACAATTAATATTTCAATGAATGAATCCTGACTACAGTACTACCGACCACTCCAGGGAGTACAATCATGTACAATAGTCCCTGAGTCTGATACTCCTGGGTATGTCTACTAGGCTCAGTGACTTGACAGTTGTGTCGTTTGTGATTATGAAGTACACTGTAGTTGTGAGCAAGCTCAGCAATTGGCAAGTGAGGACATTGCTAGATGCTGCACATGACATGACTGAAATGATGAACATGAATGTCATGATGTCAAGTCACATTTGCCTTTTTGATGTCATAATGATTTGACGTCATTAGCACTTTTCAAAGCACAAAATGACGTGAGCTGTATGTATGTGCAAAACCAAAAAATACAACAGCTGGTTCAGTGGTTGGGGTCGCGTCGCAGCTCGCAGAAAGATCCGAGTTGGCTGAGAGAAACAGCCTTCCTTGGAACTATTTTTCTTGCTTTGTGTCCTTCCCAAGCCATAATCAGAACATTTGCACTCCAGTTTTGCTATAGTTCGTCTGGGTGCTGTGTCGGGGCAGGATGAGCCTTCTTGCCGCCCCCTTGCTTGCGCCGCCGCTGAAGCGGTCCGACAAAGTTGATTTGAAGAGTCCCTTTCGAAATTTTATTTTTTCGACTTATGGTCAAGACGCAGACAATTACACCCAAGCCGTTGGTGAATTGCAGACAGCACGAGATTGGTGTTGCAGTGGATCGCTGGACAAGCACGAGTCATCCATAGATGCAGTTACTAAGTATGATGATGGTGTGCTTTTCTCTAAACTGAGTGTCTGACATTTTCGTATTAGAATTTTGAACTGGCATTCTGGGCAAAATTTATAAAGGCTACAAAATGTAATAATGTACTTTAAAAAAATAATGTGTGTGAATGGACCGAAGTATTGGAACCATGTTCTAGTCGCCTGCCACCAAAATGCAATTGCGACACACGCGTGCAATGGACACAAACATAGGTGTAATTGTTTGAACATCTACACACACACGCGCGTGCGTGCGCGAGCGTACGTGCACGTACGTGCACACACACACATGTTAGCACACATGCCCCATGTTTTACTCACTGATGGGTCGTAGTTACTACAATGGGGTGCATTCGTACCACGCCCAGGGTGTCAAGGTTCGTGCAAGTTGACGGCGCCAAATATGCACTTTGGGTCGGATTTCACCGAGCGTTAGTGCATATACTTGAGATTATACTGGAGCATATGTGACTCAGCTCGTTCATGTATTTCAAACAGAAGATCTGCTAGTTGCACGTGTCCACTATGATGTCTAGGCCTCGGTAGCACCATGTTGCGCTGTTCCAGCAATTAGGATTGCTGTTGTTGCTGCCATTTCTGTCCCAGGTTCTATGATCAGCTGGTGGCAATTGAGGCCAAGCTGCCTGTTGGGGAAGGCCAGGTGAGAGGATGTTTTCAGTATTTGTTGTGTTAGGGCTGCCATTGCTGTCCTGCAAAGGTGCAGTTTTGCTATTTGACCGTGTGGACCGTCATTGTCACTTTACGCAGTGCAACCATGGACTAAGGTCCATTATTTGCTGCAACTCTCAGTTTTGTGCTCATAATGCAACCATCAGACATTAGGGAGGTTTCGCTCTACGGAATTACGTATGAAAATAACGTATGAACTGCACGGAATTTTCATACGTAAAAATCAGAGCTGTTGGGTTTCACTCTACGTGATTTCTCCACGACTGCTCAACATGCGTTGTTGCTTTGGAGACGCGTTGGCTGCATGCGCCCACCGCATGCGCCATGAACCGAAACCGCGTTTTCCATGATATTTTGCGCGTGGTGTACGGTGTGTGTACCTTGTGTTTCGCGCGGCTTTAATGTTGCCATGGACAAATGCGGAAAATGCGAAAAAAATATTTCAAAACGTCCTACGGAGGACCCAACGTAGGAAAGAGCTTTCCTACGGAAATCCGTAGAGAGATTTACGTATGAAAGTTGCCCTCGCTCCCCGGCGCGTACGACATGCGGATTTTCATACGTAATTACGTAGAGCGAAACCTCCCTATTGTGGGGGTTTGTCAGTGTCTCGGCATGTATATAATGTAGTGTTTGTGCATCGCAGAGTGTGACCATGTCAGTATTTACGATTTATGTTAGACTATACAGCTCGCATTTGAGTAGCAGTGGTGCCATATTAGGCTTGCTCTGTTTGTTTTTTCTCTCGCTAGATCCCGCTCAAGTACACATGGTATGACTGCTTCAATCGCAAGGAGGGCTTCTTTTCCAGCTCCTCAGTAAAGCAAGGTATGCAGTTGCGTCTCAGCTTACCTGTCTTTGTTTTCTGTGCGGGAAAGGAAGGTGCACATAATTATACCTTGAAAGCGCCTGGCTTTTTCCTCAGTGCTGCAATATTTGCATGGTACGGTGTGAGTAACTTCAAGCGGACCCGTCTTTAGCTGCAGTGTCAGGACGACATACCTTCCGAACACCTGCATCCATCAATTGTAGCAATACCCGTACCAATGTACATGTACGTGCTCTGTGCTGTTTAGCTGTGGTGAGCCTCCTCTATGCCAATTGTATTTGTGCCGTATGTGTGCGTGTGTGTATGTGTACACGTGTGTGTGTGTGTGTGTGTGTGTGTGTGGTGTGCGTGCACGTATGTGTACACGTGTGTGCGTGTGTGTGTGTTTTGGCTTCATGCCGACCCTGTCTGCCCAACCAGGCCTGAATAGTGGCGCCTATGAGCGTATCTGTGTCCTCTTCAACCTGGCGTCCGTCCATGCCATCGTCGCCGGAGCTCAAAATCTCGAGACTGATGTTGGTCTCAAGCTGGCAGTCAAGTCGTTCCCTGTGAGTGGATTTGGAGTATTGTAGGTGTTTTGTTTTACTGTCACGTTAGTCCATGTATTGCAGTGTGAAAACCCGAAAAGCTTGCAAATCCTTTTTCCCTCAATTTGTTGGAAACCTTCGTGAACAGGAGCCTGGAGGGAATTTTGATTGTACAGTGTAGAACTAAATCCTTCTTCTGCCTGTGGCAGTGTTCGATTTGTTAAATCCGGATTAAAGTGGTCGGACTGCATGGATCTCCTCAAGCAAATCTAACACCAGTTAGCACGAGGATGCAGCTCGCGTTGGCGCTACCTGGTGACCATGGTGATCATGGCGGCGGCAAGGTGTGAAGGAAGAATTTTGGAACTGTTTTGTGGCATGTTGCTCAGGTGGGCATGCGGCACGGGGAAGGGAAACCAATCTAACACACTCGCTATCCTGTCCAGAATGAGGAAATGATGACGAAAAAGATTCCAAGCAATCCTAGATCAGGAGGTGGATTGCTTGGATTCGGATCCGTCAGATCCTGGTCTGGATTCGACAAATCAATCATGCACACATCCCACCAATCCATCGAATCTTGGTTGGGACTCTACAAATCCAACACGGTGTGCGTGTATATGTGTGTGTGTGTTTTCTTCTGTGCTATAGATGGCAGCAGCGCTTTTCCAGCATCTGCGTGATCAGGTGTTTGCTCAGCTGCCTAAGGTACCTACGCCGGATCTGAGTGGTGATACCGCCATCGCATTGTCAGCGTTGATGCTTGCCCAAGGACAGGAATGCTTTTTCCACAAGGCTACATCGGGTGAGTTTCCTCATGCAGAACTTCTTGCTGCAGATCTCAACCACATGTGGGGATTTTTCCAGTGTTAGCTGGCTTGTCCTATTGTTGCCATGAAACACTTCGGAGTCGTCACGAAAGTGTTTGTGTCGTCCGTGAAACGACTATCGTTCATTTTGCGCTCTGACCTCTCTTTCTCTCCCCTCCCCCCCCCCCCCCCCCCCCGTCAGAATTGCTTGGTGTTTCAAGTTTTTCATCGGATGTTCATCTATTTTCATGCATACGAGTCGTGACGAACCGCTCTTGTCTACTGTTGTCCTGGTTACTGTATCCAAGCTCTATCACTTAGGTATTGACCGCACGTTGGCTTCACTTGGAGCTACCCCAGCGTGGCTGTGTACTACAGGTATGTTTCCCTTGTCTGTATGTCTCCTATACAGACAATATGAAGGCGGCCATTGTGACAAAGGTTGCTGCTCAGGCAGCCGACTACTATGGTGATGCAATGCGTGCTATGGACAACTCTGCAATCCGTTCGCAGTGGGACAAGGTATGCCCTACTGGCGGAGATTACCTCCGGACTTTTCTGTACATCGTGAACTCATCTCTCGCTCCATGCTGCCTTTTGAATACAGTGTGGCGAAACTCAATGCGTACTGAGAGGAATTTTTCCTTTTCAAGGTCTTCTATTTTTTGTCTTTTGAAACGAGAAAACTAGTTTAATTCTAGTATCTGTTTTTTATTCACTCCGCAACTAGCTGTTAATCTCCTTTACTTGGGATCTCTCTCTGATGGCTGTATACACTACTAGTACAGCACTATCAGACTGATCCGCTCAGACTCAGCGGGACAAGACTTCAAAGGGTTTCTACTGCTATGGTTGTGTTCGCGTGTGGATGGTGGTGTGCTTGTTTCGTTGCTACTTCTCTTGTTGTTCAGTCGTGGCTACCCATTATCCTTGGAAAGCAGTCCTATTTCCTGGCAATGGCCGACTACTATGATTCTATCGCGCTGAAGGAGGGCAAGAAATTTGGCGATCAGATCGGCAGACTGCGTGTGAGTGCGGAATGATAAGAGAGCTTTGTTGAGAATTCGTTTCATGTCCAAGTAGTATGCCAGAAGATTACCTGCAGTCTAGGGATCTTATGAGGTCGTGTGTGTTGACAGCCGTTGTGCGAGTCATGGTCACATTCAAGTTAGTTGTTTTGTTGGTCGAATTTACTGGACCGTAAATGAAATGTGTTTAAAATTTCTGGTGGCCTTTTGGTGCAGTTCTGTCTTTGAGATGTTGAAGGTGTTATTGGTGTGTGATTTTGTGAATGTGCAGCACGCTGTCCAAATGTTGCAACATGCCAGCAAGCAAGGCGAAGGCCAGCTGAACGTTTCTGTGAGTGGCCATCATACGGTGTTTTAGTTTTAAGCGACTAGCTCGTGCGCCGATTGATGTTTCTGTATTTCCCGGTGTGTATTGCTCGCTGCAGCTGTTTCTGATTTTAACAGGAGTAGTGCAGAGCATGCTGGGCATTGCTGGTAGTGGTTACTCACTGAGCTCTGACTGCATGCTTGGTGAACAGTACAGTATCAATCTGGACTCCTCACATCAAGGCACTCCTATCTACCCGGCACCTTTCCGACCCCTCTAGAGTCACAAAAAAACTGTACAAATGGCATCAAAATTTTAAAAATAAAATAAAAAGGGGCTACTTGCATGCAACCAGTATGTAAGTTATGTTCTGGATTGCGCACAATTCCTAGTTACGGCCAGTGTCCAGTCCCAACTTGCCCGCATCTGGGGAGTTCTATTGTGTGGTCTTGTGGCATGCGCAACCTCTGATCTAATGTGTTGTGTAGAAGTGCGTGTTGTATGAAATTCACTATGAATTGATAACTTGAAGTCGTAGCATACGGTGTCCGTAGTCATGGATGGGTTTGACCGTGAGTTGTATATGTACATCACCACATTCAGCAAAGAAATACAGGTGTCTCATGGAACCCTGTGCTTGGCGCACAGTCAATCATCGACCCCAATTATGAACGCCCAGATCCTAAATTCTGCAACTATCTTCCCGTTCTATTTTCAGAGAGCAATGGATCGCGTGCAGCGTGATCTGGCGACTGCCGAGAAGGAGAACAACATGATCTACAACGCCAGTATTCCGCAGTACGCTGCCATGGCAACCCTAGGTCGTGTGGCCGTGGCCAAAGTACCGCCAATGCCCGCTCACCCGCTGAGTGGAAGTGCATTCAAGGATGCATTCGAAGGTCTTGTTCCACTTCAGGTAATACCAGCGTTAGATTTTATGGAGTCGTGGTTGTTGTGTGCGTGTAGCTGTGTTTTTAAAAGAACATTGGAACGGTTGGCAAACTGAGAAAATATTGACATTCTCTTTAAGAACATTTATGGCAAGGGAAACGATATACTTGGCGCTTTTTAATTTCTCAGCTAGTGACATTGGGCATCAGGTACCTCTATGGCGCTCCGTGTCTTCTCATCAGGGTGGTATGTTTGACCAGCATCAGCTCTAAACGCAACATTCTGGTCACTTTGTGTGTGTGTGTGTGTGTGTGTGTGTGTGTGTGTGTGTGTGTGTGTGTGTGTGTGTGTGTGTGTGTGTGTGTGTGTGTCCCATATGGTGCAGTGGTATGTGCAGCGATTTCCAATCGATAGGTTGCGGGTTCGATTCCCGACGATTATGGTCACACACGTCTTTCTTCTCTTTCTCAGACTCTTCCGGACTTTTCTTTCATTCTCCTGGGTGGTTACCAACAGCCAGTGTATGCCGGAGTATGTGGTGTGGTGTGTGTGTAGAAAAGAAGAAAAAAAAGAGAAAAAAATGGAAAAATGAAAAATAGGGATTCACTGGCCAGAAAAAGTCACTTCAAACAGCTGTGTGGTGGATACCAGGCTAAAAATAGTGGCGGTCAATTCATCAGCCTTGCAAGCTGTTGAATGGTGTAATCCCAGCACAAGTTGCTATGTCTAACATAGCTGTTCGCTATCATCGCTCCCGCGATGGGCATGTCTGAGGTCTGAGGTGTGTGTGTGTGTGTGTGTGTGTGTGTGTGTGTGTGTGTGTGTGTGTGTGTGTGTGTGTGTGTGTGTGTGTATGTATGTACTGGCTGCAGGTACACCAAGCTGCTACAGAGTTTGAGAACAAGCGCAAGTCCTGCGTGCAACAGCTCTGTATGCGTGCCAAGGAAGCCACCCAGAATATGAACAGGTATGCTGAGTGGTGGTGGTGTGTGCATTGTATTGCAGGATTGTTATGGTATTCGCTCCCATTGATGTCATATGCATGATGCCCAGGGTACTTGTGCTGAGTATTGATTGTTGAGCACCGTTGTTGTCAATGTCATTCGTAGTGTTTCTTCACCCCATCCTTTCCCACGTGGCGCGTCCCTTTCCTTATGCACAATCGCCCATTATTGGCCACTACACAGTTGAAGTCATATAGTCCATATCACTATCACTTTGGACGTGCAGGCAGTACGCATGATCAGCAACGCGTGTGCACTGCAGTTGTTCCTGATAACAAACAATGTCCCCGTCTTTATCCCTGCTCTAATCCACAAGCACTAGTCTAGCTTGTGTATGTGTGTGGGCAATGCTTACGTATGGTTTGTTTTCCCATGCTTACACACAGTGAGCTAGCCAACATGAACTTGCCCGCTGCACTGGAGGACACGACAGGCACTGAAGTACCCGCGTCCGTCCTGGAGAAATCGCAGGGTATGCAGGCAGCCGGTGGCTGGCAGCCGCTGTACGACAAGATCAAAGCCTTGCCGGACAACCTGCAGCGGAATGTGGACATTCTGAACGATGTAAGCACCTTATTACATTTATACTCGTAGCCGTTTGCTTGCGTGATGTTTTTCTCGTATGCATTCCATGATGGCACGGTTGTATTGCGTGCAATATTCAACCTCTTGACTTTAAAATATAAACGTGCAGACACCGTATTGTGAGAACCATGGAAACAGTGTGAGTCAGGTGACGTAATCTTTTTGTATGCATAGATTTGGCTTGTGCTTGTGATTGTATACTGCTTTCAACACTTTCGCAACACATCTCCAGTAACGTCAGAGACACTGGGGTGTGCAATTGAATGTGACGCATTTTTTTCATGGATTGGAATTTTCAACAGCTCTTGGAGACCTGTAGCTATGGATTGAGATCTCGATTGTTTCACTGGAGGCACGAATGTGTGCATACGCTCGAACGTCTCTTATCCTGGCGCCTTGGGACCAGGCACTGCAGGATAAAAATTTAAAAAATCCCATTGTTGAAAAATGTTTGGATTACACAAGTTGGAAGTGACGAGAGTTTTCAAAATAAGCGCGTGCGTGCATGCGCTTGAAATAAACACTGGAATCGAAACATTTTTGCCTTGGCAACTCAAGCTGATGGTTCCCGGTAGAGAGAAGTGCCCGTATCTGAGGCGTCCGGATGAGAGGCGTTTGAGTGTACAACCTTCTAGTACTGACACTCTTGCTTCTAAATGCATAATTATGGTGGATGGTGTCGTCATTGGGTGTGGTTTGGCTTGGGTTCTCTGTAGATGACCGGCTCCCTGGACACCGAAGAGCAAGAGGATGAGAAGTTGAGAGCTCGCTTTGCTGGCAAGTGGAACCGAACCGAGTCGAAAAAGCTGACGGACAACTTCCGCCAGGAGATCAATAAGTTCAACACGTTCCTGTCCAGCGCCCGTTCTGCTGACGAACAGGTCAAAGCCAAGTTCGAGAGTCACCTCGGGTCCATGCAGCTGCTATGCTCCTCGCCTGTAAGTGAATCTGATGGAGGGGGTCCACTTGCCTGTGCTCCCTGTTTTGCATGTTGCACGGACTGTGGCCACGCAGGTCATGTATGTACCCAATGCTGTAGACAGCAAGCTGTTTCGGCCATAACGGCCTCATCAGTACAGCTACGAGCTAAATAGGCCGAGCTACCAACCGTGGTGCACTTCGTAAACAGGTCATGTATGTATGTACAGTGCTGCTCAATGAAATCCTATTGCGTGAGCGTGAGCTGCGCCCCTGTACCAGTTCGCCATCCCGGAGTTCGCAGGTCTAGGGCTGCACAGCGCCCCGCGTGGCATTGACTCGCTTGATCGGATTTCATTGAGAAGCACTGAACTTGTTCTTTGTTTTGTTTTCCCCTTTCTCATGTACTGTTCTATTCATTGTTGAGTGGGTGGGTGGGCAGAGATAGAGAGAAATAATGTCTTTACACGGTGTTTGATATCTGGTTGGGTTGTTGACATTGTATCTGACTCGTGAAGATGGCAATATGACTGTTGTGTTGCAGGCGGATCTCAAGGCTCAGCTTCCCAGTGGTGGCCCATCAGCCCAAGCTGGTAGCGAGGTAAGGAGTGTGCGTATGGACTAGTCTGGCCTGGTTATCTTGGACCAACACTTCACTAGTTTGGTGGTGTTGATTCGTAATGGTGAAGTTATTTTGGCTTTGTTGATGGTGTCAGTCTGCCCAGTGGTGGCCTTTCAGCCCAGGCTGCCAACAAGATATGGAGTGTTGATTGGTAATTGTACAGTTAGCTGACTGTGTTAATGGTATAAATCTGTGCTTTTAAATTAAGTACAACCCATCTGGTGTTATGCAATGTGGACGAGCGTGATTGTGTGAGTATTTCTTTGTTTATCCCTGTCTGTGCTGGCTCAGTCGGTGCTCGCTCTTCAGAACATGATGGCACAGTGGACGCAGATCCGAACGGACCGTGAGCGCCTGGAGGCCGACGTTGAACAGACAACATGTGACGTCAGTAAGTCATTCCCCAGGCTATACAGTAGCTTATTAGCTACTAGCTACCACTATTGGCTGTTGCTGTTTGTGGCTGCCCGGTGGTAGCCTTACAGGCGTGTACATGCATGCTTAGGTTGCTACATGTTCTTGGTACACTATAAGCAGAGTATTCGTTTTACACATATTTTTTACTCGTGTACTGATGACTTACTGGAGCAAGTCTCCCCATCGCTACACGTGGACAATCACAACAGGACGGCAGCTCCAACAGTTACGGAGCTAAACACTGCTTCACCATTGGTGTTTCACTGGAGACTTCAGCACTGGTCAGTGTTTGTGACTGGCTGTATAAACAAAGAAAATGGACCAGTGCTGGTGCAATACAAACTCTGAGCCTGTTGTGAGAATATTCTGCAATTTTGCACTGCGTACTCGCTTCTTTTTCTTCTCTACTTTTAGAAAAGCAGAGTTCTGCAGTGTGAACATGCCATGGGCTTCACCTGCTACGGTACCTCGGTTAGCCATTCGTTCGTAACGGCATTGTGTCTACTGCTGCTGCTGCTGTCGTGTGTTGTACTTGCCCGCAGAGTCTCGTTTCCTCTCCGCCATGATGTCTGACGGTGCCATCAATGAGGAGGCCACCTCACCGCAAATTCTAGAGGAGCTGTTTGCAAGCAAGCGTAGTAACCTTGATGAAAGCCTGCAACGGCAAGAGCAGCTTTTGTTCCAGATTAAGGTACATGGATAAATTGTAGGTGTTCCGTCTCTTTGGTAGGATAAACACTTGGTTTCCGGCGACAGTGAATAAAATTGGACCTAAAACTAATACGAGAAACACTATAGTATTTTCAAATTTGGACTTCACGGAGAATTTCTATGTTTTTAGGAAATTAGAGGCCACATGCCACGTACTGCTCTTTTCTCTCCGAAACTCAACACTTGCAAGCCAGATATGAAAGAAAGAAAAAATCATCAGTCACACCACCGGGACTCGAACCAGGGACCTTGCTATTCGCGAGCAATGCTCTAACCAACTGACCTACAGTATGCCTCTTATCCACAGTGATGGTAAATCTATCCTTCTTCGATCAATCCACATCTGGCTTGCATCATACTGGCAACTCACACCAATCAAGAGGGCCCTCGGCCATTCGCTTGATATCATGGGGAGCGCATCAAACTATGTCCACTGTGAGCAAATACAAATTGCACGTTTTGACTCTCCAGTATCATGCTTTGGGAAGAAGAGGTTGGTGCGACTTCGGCGATACTTGGGGAATTGTGTGTTGCTCCCTACATGCTTACCGGTATTGTTGTTACTGTTGGACAAACAACAGATAACAGGTCAACTTTTGGTCCTCTCTTTTTATTTTTTAATCCTTGGCTCTCCATCCTTGTCTTATCACAATGTACTACTGGTATTTCGATGTGCATGTCTTTCAGGCTTCGAATGAATCGTTTGAACATGAGAAATCCAGCAGCAGTGCAGCCAATGAGCGTGAGAAGATGCTTAAGAGCCTTGCAGCAGCGTATGACGTTTTCACAGAGTTGAACGCAAATCTCACGGAAGGCACGAAGTTCTATGCCGATCTGACAACGCTGCTCTTGCAACTGCAGCAGAAAGTCAACGATTTGGTCTACGCTCGCAACACGGAGAAGGAGGATGCACTAAAGTGAGGCCAGAAATAATTGCAAACATGAAACTTCACATGATCTCTCCCTCTCTCTCTCTTTCTCTCTCTCTTTCTCTCTCTCTCTCTCTCTCTCTCTCCCTCTCTCTTTCTCTCTTTCTTTCTTTCTTTCTCTCCTTCTCTCTCAACACGCCAACCCGATCTCACAAGGCTTGGATATTATACAGCCGTTCTCTCATCTTCTCATACTATTTGTTATGTTTTATCCTTTTACATGGTCTGTTCACATTTTTCAATGTAAACAATGCTCTCGCTTTTGGATATTTAAACAGCCCTGGTGTAGATGTGTCAGTCCTTGAATGTTAGACTTGCTCCTCTGTGTGTAGAGGTTATGTCGTTACATCATTAGTTGAGAGCTTTGGCTAAACCGCTTCACAGCGATGCACTAGGTCAAGCCAAACCGCCGGCTCACGCTGTACACTGTACACTGTGTTCTCATAAGCGATTCCGCTGACTCACCCTGTATACTTAGCACCCATATGCGGTTCCCCAAGTTCACCACCATGACATCATTAATATTTTTGTATACCAGTAAGCTCTTATTATGTTGCTGTTCCTGCTCTCTGACCATGTTGCGTGCACTTTTCTTTGGTCCTGTGTACAGAGAACTCCAGAGCAGTATTGCTAGCTCTGAGAATGCTCCAGCTCCAGCTCAGCCATCTTATCAGCAACCTGCTAGTGAGTAGCACATGTCTCTCTCTGTCTCTCTCTCTCCCTCTCTCTCTCTCTCTCTCTCTCTCTCTCTCTCTCTCTCTCTCTCTCTCTCTCTCTCTCTCTCTCTCTCTATCTCTCCCTCTCTCTCTCTCTCTCTCTCTCTCTCTCTCTCTCTCTCTCTCTCTCTCTCTCTCTCTCTCTCTCTCTCTCTCTCTCTCGTGTGTGTGTGTGTGTGTCTCTCTCTCTCTCTCTCTCTCTCTCTCTCTCTCTCTCTCTCTCTCTCTCTCTCTCTCTCTCTCTCTCTCTCTCTCTCTCTCTCTCTCTCTCTCTCTCTCTCGTGTATCCTTGAAATATGGTGTGTGCTGTGGTGTACTTTTCCTGCAGAAGCAGTACCAGCAAGGCCGCCTCCACCAACAGCTGCACCGAGAACACAACGACCAGCCCCCACTCCACCGACGGCGGCGGCAGCAGCACCAGCCGTGACCTCTGGCTTCCCGCAAAGTGCACCAGCACCACAGCAGCATCAGCAGCAAAGCCAGCCGCCACCAGTTGCCGCACCAGCATCCTCTGCTCCTCCGCCGACCTATGGTGGCACTGCGTACAACTACGGTGCTCCGCCGCCTCAGCAGCACCCAGGTGGTTATGCTCCACCTGCGTATGGTGGATACCCATCCTATCCTACTGCTGGTGGCTACTACCCACCAGCGGGTGCACCGTATGTTGCTCCGCCACCTGGTGCTGGTTATCCAGGACAAGCACCAGCACCCTATCAGCAACAAGGAGCTTACCCCACTCAACCAGGTTACCCTGTTCAGCCTGGCTATCCGGCACAACAGCAGCAGCAGCCTCCAGCCAACCCTGGCTATCCGACACAGCCACCGACCTATGGGCACCCGCAACGCTAGTTCCGTGTCTACCGGTACAGTAGCCGGGTTTCCACCTAATCTGACTGTGTGTGTGTGTGTGTGTGTGTGTGTGTGTGTGTGTGTGTGTGTGTGTGTGTGTGTGTGTGTGTGTGTGTGTGTGTGTGTGTGCGTGCGTACGTGTGGCTGTATTGTTTGTGGTCCATTGATTTTTTCTGTATGTGCAGAGGACAGTTTTTGATTTTTTTTAACTCGGCCTTCGTTCATGTCTGGTTGATGTGCTTCTAGTTTCCTGTGCTGCTGCTGTTGCTGCTGCTTCATTGCCTTTAGGTCTGCTAGAGTGTAGGGCTGCTGGACTTTCTAACATTTGTTGCTTTCTCAAAGACTAGGATTAATAAAGATTTCTTGTATTTTTGCCATCCCCCGACATCCCCTGGTTTCGGCTGGATTGGACTTGTAGCGTCATAATATTTCACATGAAATGTCTGTACATAGATTTCCACATCGTGGCTTACCACACAGTTGCATAGTTCTTACAATGTTATTATTTTTTTTTTTATTCTCCCTCACATTTTACAGAAATACATCATACTTATGGCTTTGATATTATCACTAGGACCCCCTGCCTACGATCGCATGGTCCTGTTATCTGTTGTCAGTGCATGTAGACCAACACAACCAAGCTACAAGTAGTGTAGACCAGGAGCCGCAGTATCTAGGACTGAGAAGACAACCCGAGACCATTGTACCTGAAACGATGTGTGTCTTGACCCCCGACAGATTTCCACACACCGTCACACACCACATACCCCCACACACACACACACCTCAGACCTGCCCATCGCGGAATCGATGATAGCGAACAGCTATGTTAGACATAGCAACTTGTGCTTGGATTACACCATTCAACAGCTTGCAAGGCTGATGAATTGACTGCCACTAACTTTAGCCTGGTATCCACCACACAGCTGATTGAAGTGGCTTTTCAGTTCTGGCCAGTGAATCCCTATTCAGTTTCATTTTGTCCATTTTTCTTTTACACACACACACCACACCACATACTCCGGCATACACTGGCTGTTGGTAACCACCCAGGAGAATACACACACACACACACACACACAACAACAACAACAACAACAACAACCGTGACATGCTACGCACGCGCACCCACACACTGCACATTCATACGCCCATGTGCACCCACACACACACTCTCACCATACGCACGCACATACGGGCACACATCCGCTGTGCTGCCTACATCATAGTACAGTCGTCCCTCTTTAATCCAGTACTTTATAAACCAGCACAATTTTCAGTAGCCAAAATGTCCTCTTCATGCACATTGCAGCAGTAAATCCAATTTGCCAGCACCCTCCCTAATCGAATCCAGCAGATTTTCCATGGCACAAATGGTGCCGGATTATAGAGGGACCACTGTACATGAATGGCAGAATGATCATTGCCTGCATCAAGGGTACAATCCAGTAGGTCAGAAATGCCCTTGTATGCCATAGAGTAGGGAGTTCAGTTCCGGTCACAGAAAAGCGAAAAGTGCAGTCACAGCTCGCCTGTACAAAGTGAATGGGCGCCTCGTGACTGCAGTTCGAGATGCAGTTCGAGGCCCAAGTATCTTCTCCCGCGGCCTTTTCGGCCTTGTCGATGCTATTTTTAGGTAGCTGAGGTCATTACCTTTCCAATGGTGCCACACATGCCATGCTTCCAAAAATAATGCCTCCACGCTTGGCGCGGATGCACTTCGAAGTACTAATTTCGACCAGATCCGTACTCGGCCCCACGAAGAACACCCGATTTTCGTGTTCAGCGGCCTCGAATTAGCCTAAACCAAGAGGATTCTAGAACATTGAGGCTCGCGCTTTATCACGGTAGAAGGAAGATGATCACAGAAACCAGCCCACGGCGATTTCCTGGTGGTAGACGAAAAAAATCGAGTGAACTGCGCGCACGCTGTAGAAGCAGTGACGGTGAAAACGTGTGACTTGTGCAAGTAGGCGCGCACGGCATGCGTGCACACTGCATGCATGCACACATCCTGTATCGCCATGTATGTACCAGATAGTGCAGTGCTGGACGGAAACCACACGGCTCACATACATACTTGCATTTACTTCTGTGACTACTTTCTCCCCCGTTTTCCGATCTTCAATCGACTATAACTCTAGATTGCCTTGGAATTTTGGGTTCAAATTTTCACAGGTTGTTTCTCACACCTTCCCGGTTTAGAAAAACTAGCGTTTTATGCAAAACTCGCGAATTTGGTTTTTCAATTGAAGTCCCTACATAGAGCTTCCCCTTCGCCTGCGCAAGTCACCTGATCAGTGATGTTTGCATTGAGCAAGAAACTCGAAGTTGCGATAAACTCTTCTTCGACGTAAAAATAATAATTATAAAATTAATGTAATACTAATAGTAAAAAAACCTCCTTCGTGAACGCGTTATAACGTGGACATAACGTGTACTAGTATTCAGATCACGCATCTACCTGTGCATGCATGACGGCCTAGCATGGCATGCGCATGCATGCAGTCATGTACACGTACACGTACACGTCTACGTCTCGCGTCTGCTTGCACGAAACGCGTGCCCGGGCACGAGGTTGGTATCGGAGGCTTTCTGCTTTTCTTGTCTTTCTTTTTTTCCTTTGAAGCTCTTGAGTTGGAACCAGGTACGCCGGTGCGTTGGGGATCGTGGAAACTTCATGGAATGAGGACGAACGTGTTGTGTCCTATGTGATTTATATCGTTCAATAGACATGGGTGAGCGAGGATCGAGAAACCCCCTCCTTCCCGGAGGGGTATCGCGGTACAGCCGTTCAAAAATGTTTGCCAGACGTGCCTCGTATAAAAAGAGGAAAACGGTGGCACCAGCTGCAAAGAAGCCCGAGTCTCGGTTTGTTAGCAAGCCAATGCGTGGATCTAAGAATGGTACCACCAGGAACATTCCTGTCCGTAGCACTGTGAGTTCATTTGTGGAAATCAATTGTATTCGCTTTGATTTTTACCGGCTCAGTGCAGCTGATTTGACGTTCAGCACATACATAATAAGCACTTGCATCATGCACCCGTAAGCCAACGAACAAATTGTGCTAAACATTTCAATACAAATGCAGTCTTAGCATGAAAGCACCTGCTGCATGTTGGGAACTTGGGGTAGGGTGATCAGCATCACTCACATGCGACGCGTGTGTGGTTAATTGCATGGGCACATCAGATAATATTGTCGCATGTAGTTTTCCCATCACGTTATTATTTGCACAGGTTATTTAGTTGCTGGCTAAATGAATCCCACGTGGCGCCCGCTGCGTGGCCATATCAACAGTTGCTAGTGAAAGTGCATTACGCAGATAAGCATTCAAGTTAATGTTGCACTTGGGCCTGGACGTGGTGCCGCTTGTGACGAAGGGATTGGGGACCCAAACTGTAGGCATACTTGACACTCAACCACACTGCCAGGATGTGCAGATGTCCTGATCAGGAGTTTATATTGTCCTCGTAGTGTAGTGCACCACCTTGTCTAAAATAGGTAGCCGATCAGAAACATGGAAACTACAGTAATGTCAATTACATGACCAAGGCGCACTGGAGCTCGGTGTGCATGTGTTGCAGTAGTAATCCCAAATGAGGATACATTTTCGTAACTTTAGATTGCCCCTTGTAGTGTAATAATTAACTATTATGCAATTGCATAGGTTGTTACAGGAGATGTAATGTGTGTGACTGATGCTTATGTGCTGTTTAATATTTGCCTTGTGTAGCCCAAGATGTACCCTACCGAGGATGTTCGCCCCAAGCTCAAGAACCGCAAGATCAACAAGCCAACTCGCCTGCGCAAGTCTATCCAGCCTGGTACAGTGCTCATCCTTCTCGCCAACGCTCACCGTGGAAAGGTATGCATGCCATACTGTGAGCAGATTGGAAACTTACCTTTCATGGCTTCATACAGTTGCCTCTGTGTGGTGTAACTTCTTTGTCCTTTCACAGCGTGTTGTTTTCCTGAAGCAGTTGAAGTCGGGACTTCTCCTGGTCACTGGTAAGTTGTGGTATTGCTGTTCACATTTCCTCTTTGCCAGAGAAGTGTTTTTTCTTTGGGTATGTTTGTTTGGGATGATCAGGAACTTAATCAAGTGGAGCAAGCCTGTTAGGTTGATCTGCTCTTCAGTTGGAGTTTGTGTTGAAAGCACCACTCACTGAACAATACACAGTCTGTCGGGGAATTCTCCCCTCGTCAATTGGAGCTACATACTCTTCCACTGCCCTGTTACGTGTGCACAGTTATATGATCCGTTAACGAATTCACCTGATGTTGTACAGATTGCCACTGGTTTGGTTAATCAACATGTTTGGATGACTGAAGTTTGCATACTAGTAGCACGAGTACATAACCCCCCAGGGTGCGCAACGCCTGATCCAGCTCTGATTAGGGTCTTGGTCAAGCGTAATCGGATATTTGCGTCATAATACCGTACACATCTGAGGGGAGCCGGGGGGACTCTCGGATCAAAAACAACGGTGCTCTACCTCGAGACCAGCCTTGCGCTGCCGTGGAGCGTACGCATGACATCAGAAGATCCTACTACGCTCGACCAAGACCTTTCCAGAGCTGGATCAGGCATTGCACACTCCGGGGAGGGGGGGGGGGGGGTTTATGTACCCTTGCTAGTAATTGACATGTGATTGTACTTTTGTACTTGGACATGGATATCGAATATGCTTTGTCACTTGCACTGTTATTTCTTTTCAGGCCCATACCGTGTCAATGGCTGCCCTCTGAGAAGAGTTGACCAGACCTACGTCATTGCCACTCAGACCCGCGTGGACATCAGCAAGGTCAACATCCCAGAGCGTGTTGATGATTCTTACTTCCGTCGTCAGACCAAGGCTCGCAAGTCCAAGGCCGAGGGTGAAATGTTCGAGGAGACCCAGACGGTAAGTTTATATTGCTTGCAGTGATGAGATGCCTTCTAGTGTGCATACAGGAAAGGCTGATCTTTTAGGCTGTGATCATTTCATCAGATCCCAGATCGGAATGAATCGCTTACCTTATTGCGTCGTTTTGTCACAGCGCTGTGACCTTGTTGACGTAGAAAGACTGCAGTTGAAAAGTTAGTCCAGGGTTCATACCTATCCTGCTCAGTTGCATGGTGGTGCACTGTTTATCAACGGGCATAATGTACTACATACGTTGTTACCCACCAGATACGTACAAACGTCTTGTTTGGCAAAAATTAATCAGTTGGGTCCGCCCAACCTTGCTCCAGGGGCAGGGTTGCCCGGATCCAAATCAGATCATTGCAAATCTAGTGGCTCCTATGGACTTGGATATGGATTTGACCAAACGATCACAGCCTTCAATACTGTTACAACAAATCAGTCAATGCTAAAGTCTTTGCGTGCTGGATTGTGCACCTTTTCTTTCACAGGCATACCTGCACTGGCTTATATTGTGTGGATTAGCGGTACTTGATAATATTCCACTGCAAACACCTCAGCAGCTTTTCGAACATGCCAGCAGGATGAAATGGCAATGTATCCGCCACTTGGCCACTAGTTCAGGCTACAAGTAGGGTTTACACGGTCAGAGCTAGTCAGTGCTAGTCTCCCCTTTTCACAAATCTGCATGAGCGCAAAGGATCCTTGAAAGTTCTTCATGTCAGCACTTTTATTATCGTGGGAGCACCAATACAGTCAAGTTATTAGTTGACAACACTCGTACGGCACCATTCCTCACATGACAAGCATGCGATCCGTGTGGACGCGCGAAAACGATGCAAACGTTTCGGTAACAGGCCCAACTGTCCATTTTGACTGTTCACATATCCAAATTTATGACGTGCGTTTTCGTCCCCAGTGTTGCTGGGTAAATGTAACCTCCAGCCCGATTCACAATACAACTTTCTGCGACACGACCTGCGGCGGTGACATACTGCTCGCAATCTGTTTGGTGTTTGAGACATTCCTGTGCAGTAGTACTCGTAGTACTGCACGTGCACCCACAGTAAAACACTGTACACCATTCATGTACTGTACAAGCAGAAATATTCGTCTGGAATTTAATTTCGTCTTTTTCGTCCAAGGGGCTTTGGGACTAAATTAAATGACGGACGAATGTTGATTTGTCAAGCGTTTCTATACACTGTTATAGTCCGTGGACTAAATTTTCAACCGGACGAAATCCCTTTCTTTGGAGTTGGACGAAATTATTGACCGACGAAATTTTCTGCCTGTACAGTACGTCGCATGTCGCAAAAGTTGATCTTTCTTCAACTAAGAGTTACTTCTGCGATCGGTACCTCGTGACAGCTCGTGACGGGCCTTTTAGCGTGTAGTGTAAAATTATTGTTAATCCTCCATGCCTGTTTTTTCTGTGAGATAATGCACGCCTTTGTTTCTCCTAACAAAGCTCTTACTGTCTACTCACTGTCTGCTTATCTTCTAGACCTACAAGGCATCTGATGAGCGTAAGGCTGACCAGAAGGCAGTTGATGCTGCCATCTTGGAGAGCGTGAAGAAGACACCAGAGCTTCTGTACTACTTGCGTGCCAAGTTCACCCTGCACAAGGGACAGTACCCCCATGACATGGTCTTCTAACTTCAACAGAATAAAGCTTCAATGAAAAGAGATAGTAAAATGTGCCGTTTTGTCTGGGGCTGATTAGGCTGTTTTGTCTGGGTGGTTCTGGGCTATGCCGTACGGGTTTGACCACTCTCGTGTAACAATTGAATTTCGTTGATCCAATGTCACCGCATGCTTCATGGCGTGGCTGCTGTGTCTCGCAAGACAAATGGTGGTGGTGCGACGACACACTGCTTAGGAGTCATGGCGAACATCTTGAAGCGCATGCCCATTTGCTTAGGGCTCGTCAGGTGCTGCAGTCCACTGATAAGCTGCTTGCGCTGTTCTTCGTTGGATTTCTTTAGCAGCACCTGGTAGCAAGGGCACATGCACAAACACACCAATAGTTAGGTTCTGCCAGAGGTAAAACGTGCCAAAGTACGTATGGAAACTTCGCCGCGGTACGGGATCAAGTTTCATGCTGATTTTTTCATACCGTTTTCCGTGTGAAGCGCGCTTCACACGGACTGGACTCCGTGTGAAAACTGAGCGTACAGAGTACATGTGGCGGGGTGTAACACTGTTCGAGCATGCTACGTACTAATAGAGAGGTTCTGGGGTACGATTTTCCGTGCCAAAATCCGTGTGGGCGCTACGGATTTTTTCCAGGCGTGCTCCATACGATTTTTCGGCACGGAGAATCCGTGTGGACTGGCGCCATGGCTTTCACACGAACCATGTTTCGTATGGAGATTTTGCGTCATCGGGTGCAGAAAGAATTTTCGCGTACAAATTTGGTACGAGAAACATCGATTTTCCGCGGGAAGTTTTGATTTCGGTACAAATTTTCAAAAAAAAGCATGGCGCGGGAATGTGACGTGTTTGCGATCGTAACCTAGGCAATAGAGAGGTTCCGGGGTACGATTTTCCGTGTCAAAATCCGTGTGGGCGCTACGGATTTTTTCCAGGCGTGCTCCATACGATTTTTCGGCACGGAGAATCCGTGTGGACTGGCTTTCACACGAACCATGTTTCGTATGGAGATTTTGCGTCATCGGGTGCAGAAAGATTTTTCGCGTACAAATTTGGTACGAGAAACATGGATTTTACGCGGGAAGTTTTGATTTCGGTACAAATTTTCAAAATAAAAAGGCATAGCGCGGGAATGTGACGTGTTTGTGATCGTAACCTAGGCAATGACGGCAAACACATAAGTTCCGTACTCCGGAACAGTTCACTGCTCGAAAACGACGTATAAAAAATCCGTAGCGCCTCTACGGATTTTGGCACGAAAAATCGTACTCCGGAACCTCCCTAAGGGCCTGGTCAGACTGCGGCAAAATCGAAATAATCCTAGGATTATAATCCGAATCTCCATAGTAACTTGCCGCCAGAGCGGCAAAAGCGAGAGTTGACGCTCCAAAAAAAAAGCAAGAACGGACCATGCTTTTCCGCTCCAAACAGGATTTGACGCTGATACGCCATTGACGCTGATAATCACTGATTTTTTCATCTCGATATCGAGGAGCTAATTGACCACGGACAACAACAAAACTCATAAGGATGGTTGCAAGGATTGCACTGAAGGTGTTGGCGATCCCCAAGGTGAAGGGATTTGACGTCGTTCGTGGAGATTACCACTTGACGCTCGAAATGAAGTTTGAATTTTCGCTCTCCCCACATGTGTAGTGTGATCGCGATTCAAATTCTGGACGCTGTTCCTTTTTCGTCAGGCAACCAAAATTTGCCGCAGTCTGACCAGGCCCTAAAGCGGGATTCACAGAAGCTTTTTTGCGATGCGACACGCGATGCGACGCGATCTGCGATGGATGCGTGCGATGCGAACTCGCGAAATACCATTCACAGAAGAAGTCAGCGATGCGACAAAGTTTTGCTGATTTGGGTACGTCACCATGACATTCGCGCGGTTTGACACAACTTCTAAAAATTTATAGGCAACTCTTGCACCTTTGTACAACTTTGCTGTAGAAAAGGTCAAAATCGTACACCAAATCGCTTGTCGCATCGCATCGCATCGCAAAAGTTGAGCCAAGCTCAACTTCTGCGATGGCCCAGTTGCGGCAGTTGCGTGGGCCGCGACATGGCTGCGATTTGGGGTTTTCCCGGTTTCGCGCCTGTCGCATCGCGTGTCGCATCACAAAAAAGCTTCTGTGAATCCCGCTTTCTTCTGTGAATGGTATTTCGCGAGTTCGCATCGCACGCATCCATCGCAGATCGCGTCGCATCGCGTGTCGCATCGCAAAAAAGCTTCTGTGAATCCCGCTTTATATTTATGACGGCAAACACATAAGTTCCGTACTCCGGAACATTTCACTGCTCGAAAACGACGTATAAAAAATCCGTAGCGCCTCTACGGATTTTGGCACGAAAAATCGTACTCTGGAACCTCCCTATTTTCTGTTTCTGTACTCAGTCCATCCTCAAGCGTGCAAAAAACATATCTCTGCCACTAATCGAGACTTACACTGATTTTTGCGCTTTTGGGCCCGAATAAGTCTTGATGACAGCAAAAAATAATTGTCAACTGAATACGGAAGTGAACGAATTTGGTCGAAAGTGTCGAACCACCTTCATGACGAGCAACCGTTTGTGGCCACTGTTTGTGAACTTGGAGCTTGTTATGGTGTGTGTCGGCAGGAATTTTTTTATGGCGATCAGGAAACGTTTTTCACATCGAAATCAGTGGTTACCCTTTGAAATTGAGATGTTCAAACAGCGAATTTTCTACGTCGAAATGAAGTTGGAGCACCATCGAGTTTGATTATTCCGATTTCCTTGGTGGGCTAAGGTAAGGGTAATTAACAGCTAGACATAAAAATCTCACCTGTTCACGCCCTGTATAATCCAACTTCGACCTTCAAAGTGGGCGTACTCAAGCAACATAAATCATACATGCCGTATACATAAACCTTTGAAGGGAGCATGAAAACACGCAAACGCATAGCTGTGTATACATGTACATTGTAGACCCTAGTTTGTGTTCCTCTGTGTGTCGTCAATGCTGTATTCGACAACCGTAAGCATAAGGAGAAAGTTGCCGCTGTACGCGCTCTTGTGTGTAGTATGTGTGCCGCGTTCAGTTGCTGTCTAGTATGAGATATCGGTACATGTAGCTGGGCTGGTGGTGTGTATTGCCTTGATGTGGATCACCTAACTCGTGGCCTTCTAAAGCCTGTCGAAACGCATGCCGTTTCAGATGTATGGTCTCGTGGTGTGTGTGTGTGTGTGTGTGTGTGTTGTGTGTGTGTGACTGTGTGTGTGTGTGTGTGTGTGTGTGTGTGTGTGTGCATGTGTGCGTGTGTGTCAAAATGCATGCCGTTTCAGATTTATGGTCTCGTGGTGTGTGTCCGTGGTAGGAACCGGTGGATTCTGCTCGAAAAGGTGGCAGATTCTGCTCGAAAAGCAGTGAAATTGGCAGAACCATACAAACTTTATGGCGGGCAATTCCTCGAATTCTGCTCCATTTCTTTATCCACATACCAAACATGCATGAAACTTACCAGAAAAAGTACCGAATTCTGCCAATTTTCTGCCGGCAGAATCCGCCGGACCCAAGTCTGTGGGGGGGGGGGGGGGGTTGTGTGTGCGCTCGTGTGTGCGCGCGCGTGTGTGTGTGTGTGTGTGTGTGTGTGTGTGTGTGTGTGTGAGTCTGTCGCGCTCACAATATCTCGTTTTCTGCTTATGAAGCTACATGTATATGTATGTGTTATTTGTAAGAGATTACAATGTAAAGGTGATTGTCTGCTTTGCGTTCCTCTCTGCTTGGCCTGCATTACCAATTTATCAGTACTGGTTTTTGCTCTTCACACGTACACGTATTTCGCGATTTTGGCCAAAACCCGCAAATTTCTGAAAAGTCCCCGATTTCCCGCGTTTTTTGTTGTTTTCTGCACTTCTTTTTACATTTTTCTGCACTTTTCACGCAGTATACACTATACAGTGCTTTCCATGATCCTGTACGTGGGTTATTTGCACAGTACGCAAATACTGAAATAGCGATTCTAATGATGCAACAAATTTCGTGATTTGGCCCAAATCCGCAATTTCCTGCCAATAATTCCGCGCGTTCCTGGCAAGTTCCGCACTTTTCGCCGCGTTTTTGTTGTTTTCTGCCGCAATTTCTTGCGCAAGTTTTCGATGACTTTTTCCGTAAATTCCCGCAGGGACAGTCTGTACAATGTACTGTATAAAAAATTTTTTTTTAAATTGCTAGCAAAAAAGTACAGCAGAACCGGTGCAACGTACGAAAAATCCCGGGGTTTACAGTCCATTTCAAAACTATATACAATGTATGACTTGTGGAGAAATTTGAACCCACGTTGGCTTTTCGAGCTCTGTAGTTTTCTGTGGATTTTCAGGCCTCAGCGCGTCTCTCCTGCAAGCCCACTGATGCAGAGTGCCACTTGTTGCCGGTGCAACGGCAATGGCACCTGCGTTCGGTGTGAATGCAAGAAGGAGGGCCGCGAGTGTCAGAATTGTCTCCCGGGAAAAAAAAGCAGATGCCGAAACAACAGCCCCTCGACATCCCAACCGTCACCCGTACCCGTAGCAGTGACAGATACAAGTACCGACAACCAACCGTCATCCTCAGTAGCCACCCCGGAAGAGCTGGTAGCTGCTGCACTCACTGAAGCCCTGCTCACGGAATGCCGAAACCCGACATCCACAGGACCACCAACGGCACCATGCTCACAACCTGGTCAGGTAGCCCCCACCACCTCCAGTGACGTCAATAGGGTTGACCTGCATGCCATGCCTGTGTCGAGCTCTCAACAACTAGCACGGGACATACTGGACCAGCAGCATGCAGCAAGCATCAGTGCCACAGATCGAGTTGACAGTAATGACGACACCCTAGGGCATGATGCAGAGTTGCTGGCCAACCTAGCACAAAGCCAATCTGTTACTGAGGAGCCCCAAGCACCGGATCCAGCCCAGCTCCCCCCATATCTGGAAGCAAATTGCAACATCACAGTTGGGACCCACGATTCAAACTCGTCTGCACAAATTGTAGATGCTGCATATGAAGAAGTGGTGCATTTTAGGCCTAACCTACTTTTCCTCCCTTCCGGGTCAGTCGGATCAAAGTTTGTGAAGCTCCTTGCAACACTCTACAAACAGTTTGGTGACAAATGTGCAGGTGAAGGCAAGTCTCTGAAAGCAGCTGCAGTGGCCACTCAGCTGCTCCTGCAATGTCCGCACCGCTCTGCAACCAGACAGGAGCACATCACCTGTCTACAGCGCCGCATGCTACTCTGGGAGGAAGGCAACATCAACGAACTGATGATAGAAGCCCGGACTATCCAATCTCTAGTGCAATCTTCCACAGCCTTCCAAGGCAAGGCTCAGCCGCAGGACCAAGCTCGTACCTTTGCCAACCTCATCACCACAGGCAAAACCAGTGCTGCAATCCGCACGTTGTCTGAAGACCAGAAGGGCGGAGTACACTCCGTGGGCACCACCATCAATGGCCAGACAGTTCTGGACATTCTCAAGAGCAAACACCCTCCCGCGGCACCAGCAAATGCGACGGCGATGATTACAGGAGATGTCCCTCCGTCACCGTATCCAGTTCTCTACTCCAGCATCACCCGGGAGGCCATACGCGAGGCAGCCCTCCACACACAAGGTGCTGCAGGACCCTCTGGACTAGACGCTGCGTCGTGGCGCAGAATGTGCACAGCTTTTCACGGAGCATCTGATGACCTCTGCGATTCACTGGCCAGCTGTGCCCGCCGCATCGCCTCGTCCTATGTTGACCCCACAGCATTGGAAGCTTTCTTGGCCAGCCGCCTCATACCACTAGATAAACAACCGGGTGTCAGACCGATTGGGATCGGAGAAGTGGCCCGTCGCATCATCGGGAAAGCCATCCTGCGATGCGCCTCATCTTCAATACAAAAGTCAGCTGGCTGCCTACAGCTATGTGCGGGTCAAGAGTGTGGCATAGAAGCAGCAATACATGCTATGCAAACAGCATTTCAGGAAGACGAGGCGGAAGGCGTTCTGTTTGCAGATGTGTCAAACGCATTTAACTCCCTTAACCGTGCTGTCTCACTGCACAATATCCAGCACACCTGCCCCACCATTGCTCCGGCACTGATCAACAGCTACCGCAGCCCGACTCGGCTGTTTGTGGATGGTGAATGTCTCCTGTCTTGTGAAGGCACCACGCAGGGCGATCCACTAGCCATGGCTATGTATGCCCTGGCAACCGTTCCTCTCATCCAGGAAGTGTCTCAGAGCGGAGCACTCCAGTCGTGGCATGCAGACGACTCCACTGCCGCTTCCACCATTCGAAAGCTGCATCACTGGTGGTCACTGCTTAAGCAACGAGGCCCAGCATATGGGTACTTCCCCAATGATGCCAAGTCGGTTCTTGTTGTGAAGCCGGAGCATCTTCAGGAAGCAGAATCCCTGTTTGCTGACACGGCAGTCCAGATTCGCACGGATGGCTGGCGGCATCTCGGTGCGGTACTTGGGTCTCCCGAATTCTGCAAGCAATATGTCACAGAGAAGGTAGAGACATGGGCGCTAGAGGTTGGACGACTGGCTGACTTCGCCACCACTCAGCCACAAGCGGCATACGCTGCTTTTATTCATGGCCTCCGCCACAAGTGGTCGTTTGTGGCCCGGACGGTCCCAGGCATCAGCGGACTGCTAGACCCGCTGGAGCACTCCATCCGACAGCGGTTCATCCCTGCTCTAACCAGTCGCCCCGCACCTGGTGACGAAGAGCGCGCCATACTGTCCCTCCCGTGTCGAGAAGGTGGTCTTGGTCTCATTGACCCGAGGTCTTTGACGGACCAATACAATATGTCTGTTGCTGTCACCAACATCCTCGTGAGCCGGATACTGGACCAAGATACCAACATGGACGAAGTGCCCACCACCATCCATGCTGCCAAGCTAACTGCAGCAGCAGCAACCAGGAGAGCCGCTCGAGACCAAGCCAGTCAGCTCTTGGCCACATGTGATGCGCCCACCCAGCGAACCCTGGGGATGGCGGCCGAGAAAGGAGCGTCCAACTGGCTCACTTGCCGGCCCCTGAAGCAGTTCGGGTTTGTCCTCCACAAAGGCGCCTTCAGAGACGCACTCTGTCTGCGGTTCGGCTGGGTCCCTCCCCGCCTGCCATCCACTTGTGTGTGTGGCAAGGCATTTAACACCAGCCATGCTCTTTCGTGCCCAACTGGTGGATACCCGGCTCTCCGCCATAACACGATCCGCGACCTGACAGCCGACCTACTGCGTGAAGTGGCAACGGATGTGAAGATAGAACCTCCTCTGCAGCCCCTGGAGGGTGAAAGGCTCCGGTATCGCTCTGCCATCTTGGAAGATGGTGCTCGTCTTGATGTGGCGGCATCTGGTGTCTGGGGAAGTCGTTTTGAGCGCACGTTCTGTGATGTTCGGGTTTTTAACCCTCATGCGCGCTCGAACACTTCCTCAACTCCCGCGTCCACCTATGCCAAGCACGAACAGCAGAAGAGAAGGGCCTACGAAGAACGCGTCAGGGAGGTGGAGCATGCTTCCTTTCTCCCACTGGTATTCAGTGCATCTGGTGGGTGCGGCAAGGTAGCCCACGCTTTCCTGAAGCGTCTTGGCCATATGGTTTCGGAGAAGCGGCATGAACCCTACTCCTCCGTCATGTCCTGTATCCGCTCTCTTGTCTCCTTTGCTTTGGTTCGATCCTGCAACATGAGCCTCCGTGGTCACCGTGCTTCTCCCTACCGCAGTCGTTTGGATGCTGCCACTCCTGTTGTGCTGGCAGTCAACGACTGTCAGTTGCGTGACTGAGACTCTTGCGGAGTAGCCGTGTCTAGCCACACTTTTATTATCCGATGATCTTGTTTTGTTTGCTATGATTCCGTGATTTTCTGTTGATTGCTTTTCTGCTGTGCGAATAAATGCAGTGTCAGGTCTAAAAAAAAAAAAAAAATTCAAAACTATAGACGCGTGAACTCATACGTACGAGCCGTACGTACTGTAGCGCACGACAGCCGTGAGTTTTGCATGAGTGTTTTCTGGTTTTCAGATGTGTTTTTCAGGTTTTTCTTCGTCGCCGCGGGAAATACAAAAGATGCAAAACACGCAAAGTCGCAAATGAAAAGGTGTGAGGAAAGTCTCAAAAGAAATGAAAGTCTCAAATGAATCTTCTTCTTGTTTGCATTTTCTGAGTGCCCGGCTGTAATGGCTTCCAAGGCCCGTAAGAATCTCAGTGATGCCGAGAAAAATATGATTAGTCGTGTTCATTGTTTCTTCGAACAAGAGCTGGATTTTGATTGACGCTTGAGTATCCGAAATCCTCGTCGTCGAACTCACCTTGCAACTGGCGTGAGTGAAACCACGGTCACTCGTTGTGTCAGGTGAAGGGAACAGGGAAGCTCAAATCAAATCAAAAAGAGAAAATATAATTATCATCTCTACTGTATTTCACCCAACAAGATCCAAAACATGCAGAAAAGAAGAGGAAAAAAGGCAGGAGGCGTGATGGGATTCGAATGCCCCACACTTGTACTGGAAATCACGGATCGAAACCACGAGGCTACCAGGACCCGTACAAAAATGCACCCGCGCGGCCGCGATGGTCTGGGCGCAGCACTGTCTCAGCAGGAGCAAAAATCCGAAACAAACTGGTCAAACCCTTAAAACAAACTGGTCAAACCCTTCAAAACAGAAATTACATGTAAAACCGGAAAACCTGGCCTAAAAATAAACTTCAATTGTAGCGAAAACAAAGTATATAGCCAGAATTGTGAAGCGATGCAGAGACGGAATCTGGAGAAAAAACAAAAAATATTTAAATAAATCCCATCGAATTTTGCAAAACACTACGCGTCTATAGTTTTGAAATGGACTGTAGTACGTGGTTCTGTGTAGCAGAACCTCTCTATTATATATTTAATAGGGACCTTTCGCACCACGCGGACGGATACGAAACAAATGCTGATTCGTCACCTGGGTTCGAGGATTAGTCAGAGTCGCCGCGGAGAGCTCGTTTTCACGAATGGAAGCCTCTTCATTCGTGGCACTCTCCGAATCTGTCAGGTACACATTTTTTTGCCAGGTACACATGTTTTGCCAGGTACACATTTTTTCCCTTGATTCCATGATCCATGCACGTGTGCGCGAACACACCCGTACGCCAAGCTACCGGCCGTATTCGTAGTTGCCATGCACATTTGCATTACGACTTGCGAAACCTGAATTCTGTTTTCAACGAAACGATGACGAGCCGAATCAAACTTTCGTTTCGCATTCGATTCGTAGCAAATGCGAAAGGTCCCTAATATCACAATGAAACTACGAGTGTAGAGCTTTTGTAGAGTCAAGTTTGCAACTCTGCACATAGGTTCAGAATAGAGTACGAGTCTGTCCCTTCGGGAAAACGCAGAAAAAAAATTCCAATTCCATGAGGAAAAGAGTGTTACTCTGTGGCATTTTCTGCTAGTTCGTAGTCTAGACGACATGACCTAGGCTGTGTTTACATGAGAAATTTCAGCCCGGGTTGAAAGTCTGTACGATAGACAAAATAGGGGAGCGTTAACATGAAGACAGTTGGCCCGGGTCTGATATGCCGCCAAAAGTCCACTTCTAGAGCCCTGTATGGTCACGTGAATACTTTCGCGCGAAATTTGCTTGTGCAGTGCTGTTCAAACCTGGCGCGAGATCGTCATGTAAACGCGCCATTCATTTTGTGTACATGGCGGGTTGAAATGCCTCATGTAAACACAGCCCTAGTTACACGCGGGAATACTTTTCACACTACCCTTCGCCTTCACAAACTGAATAGTTTTGGAGAGACCTGCACTCACCTACACTCACCTACACTCACCTACACTCACCTACACTGGCAAGAACAATGTCCTCAACAAGATCAGTGTTCTACCTGACTGACTCACGCTGCTATCTGGTGCTCACAAGGTGTTTGCCGATCTGGAAACGGAGCGTCGCTATACGTTTCTATGCCTGGGATAATCTGGCCCGGAGAGTATTATAAAAGTAGTGCTCTTCAGGCACAATCTTACAACTATCAGCCCACTCAAGCTATAGTGCTCCATGAACATTGGCCATCGTAAAACTCACAGGCCGAAGAAAGCGCGGGACTTTAGTGACGCATATAAAATATTGGGCGGCTTACAGTACTCATACCTGTAAGCGTTCTTTGATTCCCAGAGAGTGGAGAAAGAAACCTTGAGGAACTGGGCCATAGCACTGAACTGTGAACACACAAGAACACACGTACCAATATGAGAGACGGTGGAAGGAGGAAATGGTTTACGTGCTCTACGTAGGTGTATCTTCCGGACCGAGTTTTCGGAATTGTCCAAACCTGCTAGCACATGCCGCCTGTATGTTTTAGCAAGGGGCACGATCATGTAGAGCAATAAAGTATGGTGGTCATACTATTCGTGGCCAGTGAAATGCAAGCCAAGAGAGAGAGAGAGAGACAGACAGACAGACAGTGTGTAAGAGAGGGAGAGGGAGAGGGGGGGGGGGGGGGGGGGAGTGTCGTACAAGTACTAACCATGAGGCTCTGCAATGTGGCGCAAATACGAAAAGTCAACATCGGCTGTCAGGTCTGCATTACCCGGGTCTCGTAACGCATCATGCAGAGAGTGCTGATGGAACGACTGCAGAAAAACAACACCAGCAGCAGAAGCAGCAGCAACAACGACCGCAAGCACCAAAATCAATGATGGGTGTGGGGTGTGCTAAAACACACTGAATAAAGGACTTTGGGAAAACTACAATTTTCGGGAAAAAATCACGGTTCACAGGAGACTCGGCTGGAGACCGAAATTTCCGCATCCGCTGGGACGCTACCACCTTCAAAGATCAAGGTGCAGATGCAGCTCCTAAAGTGGTGGGAGGTGAGTAGATCAGACCCACCACCAAAGTGGTCAAAGACCGAAAATCCCATTCGCTGCATCCATGCTTCCCTCGTGCCAGGCCACGGGTTCCCAAATAACTGTGGGTCGCAGCACGGCAGGAAAATTTCTTCCGCTTCCAAGCAGGACGTGGCCCAGGGGGGAGTATTGACAAGAGCAACAGCATACTTAAACATGCCACCATACACCGTTACTGTACTGCTGGGTGTACTGAGAAAAGACCAAATAGGATAACCTGAACATGGTGCATCCATTGTGAAACTGCCCGTTGGCAGCACCGTGCACTGAACAGGAAGCCTTACTCTGAAAGAGAACTCCGCTCTCGGCTCTGCTTCCCCATAGTCGACTAGTAGCGACATGCCACCAGTGCTGACTAGACGCTCACAGATCTGCTGCGCCACCACCGCCAGCTGGGGACTGATCTCTAGCCGGTCACGTCCGCTTTCACGGTGGAATGTCTAAACATAAGGAGAACATGCAAAAAAAGACACTGTGTCAACGTGTGAAGTTAACAAAAGCTGCCCCGATGTGAAATTTGAAAGAAGAAAAAAAGAAGGTTAGGGACTGTAACTCGGGTAAGCTCATAGTCATA